CTCCTGGCCTTAAGGCGAGCACTCCTCCTGGGAGAAACCAGTTCCCTTCGCCTCTCTGCCCTGAGCCTCTGCAGTTCAGGAGAGGCTGAAGGGTTACTGGACCCAGGGGAAGACTCACCTGTAGGCACTGAGTCCTCAACCACCTCCGGAGCCAGAGTGGATTCACCTGGTGCCTGCTCCTGAGGATCCGGCACAGGTGCAGGCGCTTCAGAATCAAGGCCCTGCCCCAGTTCAGCCGGCCCTGGAGGCGGGGACTCCTGTGCAGGCTGGGATTCCTCCGGTTCAGCCTCTGAATCAGATTCCCAGGCCATCACACATCACTTGATTGTTGGAACTTCAAGCGACGAGTTGCCATGGTCTTTGGGGCACCTTGTTGCTCTCCCAGTACTTTGAATTGCCACCCATCAGTTTTCTGCACTGCATTTTCTGCTCACTGGAATTTGTGCTGCTTTTGATTGTTTTAGCTGCTGCATTTTATGCTGATTGTAGTTTCTTTTTTGCTGGGCTATCAGCCATTGGGATTTATTTCAGTGTTATAATTTGTTTTTTAACTATATAGGATAGTCTGCAAGTATCATTAAACAATATAAAACAGGAATCAGTCGTGGGATAACAATAATACAACAAGCAATCCTTTTGTCGGCAGAGAATTTAGGGGAAGCATCTCACTACATTTCTTTAGGAGGAAAGTAAATTCTGCAAGTTTTCCTGATGCCCAGCATTCACACCTGTTATCTCACCCCAGTGCTGTGATGAAGCAGGCCACTGGGAGCTGGATCTTGCCCACCACTCTCAATCTATGAGATTTTGGCCTCAGGCTTACCTGGGAGCGAACCCCTTTGAACTCTATGTGCCATCAAGTCAGCTTTCTGAGGGAAGAACTCTGTGTGAGAAACTGCGCTGTCACCAGTTCTGCTCCTCAGTCTGATCTGGGAGGGAGAAGAAGAGCACTTATGGGGAGAGACTGCTCTTTCATCAAACAAAAGGCAGCCAGAACCCGTACGTGACGTTGGAGAGGAATAGCTATTCTTCTAGACAGCCCAGATCTGCATAGACAGAACTATATAACTGCACTATAATTATGAACTGAGACTTGAGGAACTTTTGTTTGAGCTTGTTTCCCCCTCCTCCCTCCTATTCCATTCTCCTCTTGTGCCATGTCTCTTAGATTGTGACTGAGCTTAAGGGCAGGGACCGTCTTAGGGTTGCTCTGGGATGTAATCGCCATAATTTATTTTTATATATATTTTTAAAAACTCAGTAAGACTAACTTTTGAATACACATGTGTAGAACTGCACTTTGGGGGTACTTTTGTTTTTAGGAGACAGTGCTCACTAATTTCTGCTAGATATGATAGCCGTCTTCAAATATCTAAAGCCATCTTCAAATATCTAAACATGGAGGATGGAGCAAGGTTGCTTTTTCCTGCTCTGAAGGCCAATAGATTCAAGTTACAAGAAAGGAGATTCCAACTAAACATCAGAAAGAACTTTCTGACTATGGAACAGACACCCTTGAAACGTGGTGCTTCCTTGGAAGTTTTTAAGAAGAGATTTGATGGCCATCTCATGTATGATCTAGTTGAGATTCCTGCATTTCAGGGGTTTGCACGAGGCGACCCATGGAATCTCTTCCTGCTTCCAACAGTTCTATGATTCTATCACAGTGGAAAGTTGTGTCACGTTGTGCAAATTTCCCTCACCTTTTCATCATCTCTCCTGGAACGTATCCTTAGATTCACCATGATTATTTAAAGGATAAAGCAGTACTTGTGCTTCTATAAAAACTTTTACTTTGGCAAATTCAAAATATGGTTAAGGAATCCTGGAGAGATCATAGGGCAAATAAGGTGTTTTTTTGTTTTTGAAAGAGAACAGTTTTTCTCATTACAAACCACTGGAGGGAAAAAAATATATTAAAAGCCATCCAAATTTCACAGGTTCAGGACATCTGAAATGAACCCAAACACCACTCGTGTTTCTATTGGGTTTTTTGTTTTGTTTTGAAATTCTGAGCTATTAATACATAGTATTTCTTTGTGACTCTTTTATAGACATTATGTCATTGTTCTGCCATGTTTTACTATTGACTAGTGACATTGTTGCCAGATATTATAATCATGCCATGATGCTATGAATGGAAAATGCTAAAATGTTTTCATGGGGCAGGGTGGCAGTTTGGCTCCATGCAAGAGATCCCGCATAAAAAGTTTCTTTTAAAGTATCTGGCATGTTATATAGCACTGCTGCTTTGTAAGGCAGGGCTGGGCAACTTGTAGCCTCCTAGATGTTGCAGGACAACAATCCCCATCAACCCTGACCAACGGCTGCGGGTGATGGGAGTTGGAGTCCAACAACATCTGGTGGGCCAAATGTTCCTCAGACTTGCCCTAAGAGGACACAGGCAGCTCAGGGTGGGGGAAATCAGCAAACGATTCACTTGCAGGTGCTGCAACCTGAAAAACTTTTAACCTGTATGACTGGGGTCTTCTTAAAGTCACTTTAGGGCCTTTTTGGAACAGGGATAGACAACCTGATGCCCTCCAGATGTGGACACACGTGACAGAGCTTTATAAATTATTTTGATTCATTTTCTTTTTATTTCATAAGAATTATGTATGGTAGGGTAGGAGAACTGGGGGAAAAAATCCACATCTGGCAAACAATACGCCCCTTTGGTTTCAGATAGTACATGGGTTGATGAGTCTTAATTTCACACAAATTTCACAGCCCTCTACTGGCTATGATGGCTCACTTACCAGAAATAATGTATTTAGTGTTAACTCCGGAAGTGTGTACTTGATTGTGACCAAACCAAGTTTCCTGATGTATATTTTGCTCTGGGAGGCTTGGTTTGGTCAGAATCGGGGATATACTTCCAGAGTTAACACTAAATATATTACTTTTAATAAATGAGCCACCATGGTCACACTAGAAGGCTGTGAAAATTTGTGTCCCAGGCTTTTTAGACTCATCTACCCATGTACTGTCCGAAACCAAAGAGATGCATTGGTTTTCCAGATGTGAAATACATTTGCATTATTTCCAGCTCCGCTACCCCACTAATACTCAATAATAAAATCTCAACGTGACTTACAACAAGAATAAAACAATAACATTACCAATAAAAAACAATTTTAAGCAACTATTTAAAACATTTAAAAAATTAATTAAAATCCACAATGAGCTAAAAACCAGATGAAAACGCAGGTGGGTAGTCTACATGTCTGGATAGACTTGTCCAAACAAAAACATTTTTTTAGCAACCACTGGGTACAATTGTACCTTGGACGTTGAACGGAATCTGTTCCAGAAGTCCGTTTGACTTCCAAAACATTTGGAAACCAAAGCGTGGCTTCTGATTGGCTCCTGCAGGAAGCTCCTGCAGCCAATCGGAAGCCGCGGAAGCCCTGTCGGACATTTAGCTTCCAAAAATAGTTCGCAAACCGGAACAGTCACTTCCGGGTTTGCGGCGTTCGGCAGCCAAAATGACCGAGAACTGTTCGAAAACCAAGGTGCGACTGTAATTTTTAAATGTGTTGAACATCATTGGGCCCAGGACAGAGCCTTGCAGCACCCAGCTTGACACTGTGGCACCCTATAGGACATCTGGTAGGAATATGGCTGCTCTACAGATGGGCTTTTGGTCTGATCCAGTATGGTCCTTATGTCCATCTGGAGAGGGGCAATTCTCTCCCCTATTCATCCTCAGCTTAAACAATGGAAAGTTCCTCATCGTCTCCATAGCCCCCATCACCATCAATTGCACACAATGAGAAAGCCTGGTATCTCCATGTTCCTTCCATCCTGAGACCCCACACCTCATGGATTGAAGGAGACAGATGGCATACCAGACGTCTAGCCGGTGCAAGTGCACTGCACATCACCCTCAGAAGCATGTGTCAAGCAAAGGGCAGGAGTTCACCTTGAGCAGACCTTTCCTACTACACCTGGGGGATGTTATTGTTCGGGAGACTCTGAATCCTCTCTCAAATACCGTTAGCATAGCTGAAGCAAATGCATCAAATGCCATCCTCATCTCTGCAGAACTAATGGCTACCAGAAGTTTTCTTGAGCGTATGACATAAAGAGAATGAACTTTGCCTTATCCATCCATGGAATTCCAATAAAAACAAGAAGTCTCACTTCCTCATAATAGAGGTTGGGGGGTTGAGCGGGGGAGAAAAAGAGGGGGAAACCACACGCTATATACATATGGTGCTGAATGACATGTGAGTGAAATGTGGGAGAACATAAAACAAAATTACAGGAAATGTTACTTGAGGAAACATGTTTTCATACGGCAAGAAAATCGCATATACTAAACCTTCTATTACTCATTATTAGCTAGCTACAGATCTGGTCTACGAAGGAGACACGGGGCCTGCGTGCTGCGGGCAGGGTGAGGGGTGGGATAATAAAAATGACATTTAAAAACATGTGGTGCTAAACCAACAGACCACTACGGTTTGCAATCTGCAAATCGTTTGAAGATATAGAACTGGTTTCAAGTTTCTGGGGACAGCGAGTTGGATCTAGGTTAAGTCAGTCACACTTTAGTCCCATCAAATTTATTTATTTGTTTGTTTGTTTGTTTGTTTGTTGCTTATTATAACCCCCACCAAAAGTGGCCCAAGGTGACTTAACAGCAAGATAATATACATAGAAGTAAAATCACTTAAAATCCAAATGAAAAACAACGTACTGGTAAAAGTTCCTAAAATGTTCATCCAGCTAGACAATAAAAAGGACCATACTCTATTAAAAGATGAGCAGCACAGTGGAAGTTAACTTCACCATCAAAAGCCTGGGAAAGTAAATATATATTTGCCTCAGTCTTCGAAATTCGCAAGGCGCCAGGTGCATTTGCACCTGGGTATCTTCCACTTCTGACCAAGTGAAGATGCCCGGGCTGATGTCTGGTGCCTGATGTCTCCACCATGTGGAGGTAACCCCAAACTCTAGAATGAATGCAACACGATTATCAATGCTTGTTCCTTTGAGAGCCGGTGTGGTGTAGTGGTTAAGAGCGGTGGACTCGTAATCTGGTGAACCGGGTTCGCTTCCCCGCTCCTCCACATGCAGCTGCTGGGTGACCTTGGGCCAGTCACACTTCTCTGAAGTCTCTCAGCCCCACTCACCTCACAGAGTGTTTGTTGTGGGGGAGGAAGCGAAAGGAGAATGCTAGCCACTTTGAGACTCCTGAAGGGGAGTGATAAAGCAGGATCTCAAATCCAAACTCTTCTTCTCTCTTCTTTTAGGTTGGTGGCAGACATACAATTGATTTTGTGGAAAAGTTGCTCCATTTACAGAATTGTAATCCTGCTGCTATTTAAATTCTATGAGTTGTTTTTTCTTCCATTTTGATGTTTTCTTAGACATTATTTATACCAGCCACCTCAAGCTTTGAAAGAGCTGCGTATAAATCAGTCATAAAAATGAAAACATGGTCCTCTATGGGAATTCGTTAGCATATCTCGGCCTGACATGTGCATCTCCGCTGTCAGTGTATGTCATATAAATGCCAGGCATTTTATTTATGTATGCATTTATGCACTGCTTTCCATTAATGAATGAAACGTCCAGCTACACTGAGTGATTATGTTTCTCCAATACTGATGAGCTAATGGAATAATTTATCTTGGCCAATTGAAAGAAAAGACGGATACAAATCAACCCCTTGTTAACGCAGAACTTCTCTCAAGTGATTGTCAGAGTTTAACTTCTTTTTTCCAAAGCTGAATTTATTAAGCTCTTTTTTCTTGCTTTAAGCTGCTGATGGGGAATCTTTATATGTCTGGGGGCCACATTCGCTTATGGACAACCAGCTGGGACATAGCTGTCAATGTTTTCCTTTTTTTAAGGGGAAATTCCCTTATTCTGAATAGGATTCCTCGCAAGAAAAGGAAAAAGTTGACAGATATGAGCTGGGAGGACCAGATACCAGTGGAGGCAGAGGCACAAAGTGAAAGAAGCCAAAGGCACAACTAAGCAGGGCCGTGGATATGACTCTGGCCTTTGTACAGTAGGCTGCATCCCAACTGAAGTGTAGGTGGGTTCCCAAGAGACAAGACACAGTGATAACAGCAAGAACCTTATTAAACTAACAAAACTGGACAACAGGGGCAAAGAAACTGCTTAAAGACATTTCTGAAGGCCTGGGCCACTCCCACTCTCAACGTGATTGGCTGTCTAAACTCCCAAGCTGCGTATCATAACTCATAGTTTAAGGGCCAATGGCAGAGGCCCAAATCCTGAAAAGTTCTGTGACTGGATATCATGTACCGAATCAGAGCACAGGGGCTCAAAATCCTTAGTCCAGACTCAAGCTCAGGCAAACACAGACCACTGAATACATAACACCAACTGCACAAAGGTCAGCAGTTTCTGCACTCACATACATGCACTCCTACATCCAGACAAGCAGGAGACATTAATACAGCTTAAGGTTATCTCCAACCACGGAAAAGCACTCGAGTGGGGAGTGGAGCAGGGCTTGGAGAGAGGAGGTGTGGATCAAGGAAAGTCCCAAAGGCCAGATAGTGGAATTTGGAAGGCCACATTAGACTCCCAGGCTTAAGGTTCACCACCCATCCTTTGCATCTGCATATGAGAAGAGAAAGGGATATGGTAGTGCTGTGCCAAATATGTATTTCTCTATTGCTGCCCTGTAGGCTTGCAGTGGCATCCCAGAGCACCAGCCTACGTGACAACACCTCTCTTACTTCCTTCAAATGTCTCCTCCAAACCAGCATTATTCTAGACACAGAATAATGGCTGCCTTATGAGGGGAAAAGCCAAAGGGACAGCAGAATGGTGTTTCCTGAAAGAAGGCATGGCTGGCTTTAACACTACAGTGGTACCTCGGGTTAAGAACTTAATTCGTTCTGGAGGGCCCTTCTTAACCTGAAACTGTTCTTAACCTGAAGCACCACTTTAGCTAATGGGGCCTCCCGCTGCCGCCATGCCGCCACCGCACGATTTCTGTTCTCATCCTGAAGCAAAGTCCTTAACCTGAGGTACTATTTTTGGGTTAGCGGAGTCTGTAACCTGAAGCGTCTGTAACCTGAAATGTCTGTAACCCAAGGTACCACTGCAGACCCACTTGTGAGTCACTGTTAGTGAACTAATTCACTGAGTGTAGATTCGTATGTTATCAAAATTGCTTTATCCACACACAAACACACACAACGTGATGTCAAGTATATATTATATGGCCAGATGTTGTGTCACTGAGCATAGGAGAAAAAACTGAGAGACCAGAGCAGCACTTTCTTACAAGGGTTTTGTGCTGACATGACAGCGCTTGTGGAGTTCAAAATCAATGCAGCTCCCCTGCTACTCAGTTTAAGATGAATCCGCATGTGTTGCAAATGGAATCACATAAATTATACAAGTTGTAAATAATTGTCTCTCGTGCCTGCTTCTGGCACAGCAGTTAACCATGTACGGACAAAGCACTGCATCTCGGGCCTTTCATCCTTGTTTCCCTTCATGTACCTGAAAGGCGTAAGTAACATCAGAGTCAACCCAAAGATGCATCTTTTCCTTGCAAACATTAAGTGCTGCAGTGCCGCTGTGGATTGCTATTATTTATTAAAGTTCTATACCGCCCTTCAGCCAGGGCGGTTTACAATATAAAAACACAAAAAAGCTAACCATAGTAAAAAAAACCAAAAATAATACCCCCACAGTTTAAAAGGCCACAGAATTGTTTAATTAGCCAAAGGCCTGTGAGAAGAGGAATGTTGTCGCCTGGCACCTAAATTTATGTCACAGAGGCACCAGGTGAGTCACTGTTGAAAGAGAAAGGGATGTGAAACAACTCTGCACACCTGGGATGATAGACCTTCCAAGTGTCCCTAGTTTCTAGGGACATCCCTGATTTAGAGAACTTTTCTGAGTTTCTGATTTGATCCCGAAATGTCCCACGTTTCCTTAGATGTCCCTATTTTCACTGAAGAAATGTTGGAGGCTATGGAGTTATCCAACCCCCCCGAGCCGTCTGAAGGCAATCCCGTATAGGGAATTATTTTTTTAAAAAAATGTTTAATGTTTTAAATATGCTGGAAGGTGCCCAGAGTGGCTGGGGCAACCCAGTAAGTTGTGAAGGGGTATAAATAGTAAAATTACTATTATGGAATGGAACGTCCCTTTTTTCATTGGAGAAATGTTGGAGGGTATGGGATGGGGATTCTGTCCCCCCCCCCCCCGCTGCCGCCAGCTGATTCCCATCTGAAATGTACATTTAAAGCAGTGTCATACCCCTTTATACAGCCATGACTTCTCCTGAAGAATCCTGGGGTCTGGAGTTTGTTAAGGGTGCTGAGAGGCGTCAGGGCACCCCTATACTCCTCATTGAGCTACAAGTCCCACTGCGGTGGAACAATCAATCCCTCTTCCCAGGGAACTCTGGGAATTGTATATCTGTGAGGTGAATGGGGGTCTCCTAACAACCCTGCAGAAAGTAAAAGTATGTAAAGGTAAAGGACCCCTGGACAGTAAAGTGCAGTTGAATTTCACTATGGGGCACAGCATTCATCTACCCTTTCAGGTCGAGGGAGCCGGCGTTTGTCCGCAGACAGCTTTTCCGGGTCATGTGGCCAGCATGACTAAACTGCTTCTGACACAATGGGACACCGTGACGAAAGCCAGAGCACACGGAAACACTGTCTACCTTCCCACCACAGCAGTACCTATTTATCTACTTGCACTGGTATGCTTTCAAACTGCTAGGTTGGCAGGAGCTGGGACAGAGCAGCAGGAGCTGACCCTGTTGCACAGATTCAAACTGCCAGTCTTATGATTGGCAAGCCCAAGAGGCTCAGTGGTTTAGACCACAGAGCCACCCGCATCCTGATGTAAAAGTATGCAATTCACATTCATCAGTGAGGCTTTGGGGAAGGAGAGAGGAGTATTTGCATTTAAAAGAATGAACCCTTGCGCCAGTTTCTTCCTATTAGTCTCACTGAGGCTGCATCCACCTCAAGAAGACTGGGGGGGGGGGTTGTTTACTTCTCACAGACCTACAATCCCAACACCCTTAACAAACAGCAGTTCCCAGGAATCTTTGGGAGTGATGTGCTGTAAATGTGTGATGTGCACCCAGCCTCATGCTTACATATCTTAAGAAACAGCTCTTTTTGCTATCACTGTAACATGACAAATATATCTCCTTTATAAACTGCTTAATCAAAGATCTCTCTAAATGGTGAACTTTACTTAAAACCCATCTAAGCTCCCCAGAACTATACACATAAAATAATTATCTTTAAAAGAGATCAAAGCAGTAAAACTTTAAAAACAAATATAGGTAAGTAAATTGGGTGTGTGGCTAGCCTTGCTGAATATTTTTTTTTTTTTAAATGGTTTTCAACAGGTGTCTAAAGCAATATAGGTAGCGAGGAAGCTTGCCTAACTAGCAGCTAGGGGTTCCCATATAAATTAGATAAATCCTTTTATGAAAATATGCAAGAGGACAAGGGGTCTCATACTCAGACCTGCACTCCTCATACCCAAAAGATAATTCTTGCACTTTGGGCAATCATGCCATGTGCTCATGGGAACGGGCCATTAGTAGAGTATTTGCTTTGTGTTACGGTATGTACTGAAGTTCTCACCCTGGGCCAGCAGGGGGATACTGTAGATAGTTTTCACTCAGGTCCACATATGCAGGTAAGGGATTGAAAGTGACGTTCAGTGATTGGATAGTTGCAGAAAGTTGTTACAGTTGCGTTGTAGTGGAGTTCTATATAGTTACAGAAAGTTGTTACAGTTGCGTTGTATGGAGTTCTATATGTTGCGTTGTAGTGGAGCTTTATATAAGCAGGCTGGCTGAACCCTTCAGTTCAGTTCTGTTCTGGCCTGTGAATAAACAAGAGCTGTTTGAAGAATCGCTGTGTCGTCTGATATGTTCACCCACAACTTAACACTTTGCATAAGAAGACCCTGGGTCTCCAATCCCTGGCATCTCCACAGAGGGATGAGAGAGACCCCTCTCCAAAATCCCAAAGAGTTTCTGCCAGTTCGCAGAGACAACATTGAGCTGGAGGAATCAGTGGTGTGAGCTGGCATGAGGCAGGTGTGTTCCTAGAGGCTAGCACCTGACACTGCCTTAATAAAGTGCGGCAAAAAAATATATGGCCCATATTGGCAAGCTTATTGGAACACACTAAGATGGTGGAGCATTGAATGCCAACATACTCTCCTTCTTCCCCCTCCCTGTTCAAGCATGTGTGATGCCAGGAAGGAAATTCAGGCAAAGTATTATTAGATATATAAAAATATGACAAGACCACCGTGCAAGGGAGTAAGTTTACATGTGAAACTTGTCCTTTTAATAAAGCCACTGTAGAGAGATTTGTAATTAGGATAAAGCCATTTCAAACAAACCCGCCCATAATATTGAGGATCTCCATAATGCATGTTGATAGGCTTTTGATTTGCGATTTTGAAATGTGCTAGAATAATATACAACAAGCGGGCGAACAATGGCGGAATTGTTCAAAGGATACAAGGGAAACGTATTTGAGAAAGTCAAGCAATGCCTCAGGATCCTGACGGAAAACAAGCTTAAACAGAAAGTGATCTAACAGAAAAGTCTAGATGGAAAGAATATTAATTTTCTTTGCCTTGGCATTCCTCATGACACATCACCTCACAAGTTGTTCATATTAAATTAATAAGCTTCAAACCAGCCATACCTCAGGTTTGTGTTGACAGGCCTTTTCTATAGGTATGCCAGACTAGAGAATATATGCAGTTTTGGAATGCCTTTTTGGTCACCAACGGCTTGCAGTATTTAATCTGCACCTAACACATTTTCCCTGGTGTGATCATTTACTGCTATATTTACATGTACAGGTGTCGCCAACCTTTTTAGACCTGTGGGCACATTTGGAAACTGTGGGCACTGTCACAGGCACTACACACACCACAACCAAAGCACACACCACAACTTTGCGCTTGGTCCGGAAACTGCAGTTAGCAAAAGTATTCTGACAAGAGCAAGATCCTGCCAACATATTTACACCTCTGTTCAGATACCTGCACGGGCTGCAAATTTGTTACCGGGCCTTTTTCTCTCCTGGTTTTTTTTTAATAGAACTGTAGGAATTGCAAATGCCTTCTGTCAGAAGAACTGCTGCTAAATCCACAAGCTGAGTTTAAATAGGATGATAGCGTTTGTTTATTTATTTATTAAGACCTTTTTTATATCACCGTTCATGTTGCATCCTACGTTGCTGTGCAGAGGAATAAAACATATTAAACAATTTAAGGCAATAAAAATCCACAAAACAATGAAACACAGCAGTGATCCAAGGCAATATAGAACATGATGCTATATGCTGGAATAATAAAAAAAAAACCAGTAAAAGCTTCAAAACATGCATTTCCAAAGCTATTTCCCATCAAAATATGCTTGTTAAAATAATGCTTTTGTTTGAGCTGAGAACTGAATTGGAAAAGTCTGGAAGCCCAGGTGCCCAAGTTTCTCTCTTCACTTCAGCCCAGGAGACGCGGATCAGGGAATATTGGAAGTCACAAAGCCTAGATTTCCTCAAGCATTCCTTTCCTGGGTTTATATTATTGTATTTAGCAATATTTATACACCACTTAATTAAAAAAAAACTTCTAAGCTGTTAACCTAATATTATGAAATATTCATTAATATATAGTGATAAAAACAGACTTTTTTAAAAAATGGCCCAAATATAATAATCAAAACAGCTATGAGCTGAGTCCCTCTTTCAATATTCCTGCTACATTGAAGTCTAAAGCTGGATCTACAGCAATCTTTAAAACGTTATGAGAACAATATTAGATGCAACGTTCTATAACGTTTAACATGCATTTCCCCTCTGCTGGTGGCCCTCCCGTGTCACATTGTAATAATGCATTGTTAATGTTATAAACTGCAAGTGTAGATCTGCCCTGGGTTAGTTTACCACCAGAAGGAGGGCCTTGTCACTGGCTGCAGAACTCCCTCTCAAGAGAAGCTCAGATATCAATATAAGAATAAGTAAAATGAATAATTATTATACTGACAACCTTGTAGTTGATGCTGCTCAGGAATTCTAATGAAAAAATCAGTGCGGTTTTGAAACCAGTGGTTATTGGAATCCCCCTTTAGACTCTTGCAGTGGACTTGAAAAGGTCTGCATTGGAGCCAGTGTGTGCTGGAACATGGAGGGCAGGCCTTGCATATGTGCCTCCCCACTCCTTCCCCTGAATAGGGCTTTTGTGGTTTCGCCTGAGGCCTGAAGAAGGAACTTGTCATTTAAGCACTCCTCACAAGCTCATTTTCCAAACAAGAATGAAACTGGTTTTGACTTCATGGGAATGGTTTAACAAACCAGAAAGTCTCCTCTGAAGCTGGATATGTGAAAGGAGGTGGGAAGGAGAATAGGAAGGGAGAAACATTTGAGGTTTAAGGTGCTGGTTTAAACCTTTAAAGCCCTATACGGCCTAGGACCCTCATACCTATGGGACCGCCTCTCCTGGTATGTCCCACGGAGGACCTTACGGTCTTCAAACAAAAACATATTGGTGATCCCGGGCCACAGGGAGGTTAGGCTGGCCTCAACCAGAGCCAGGGCTTTTTCAGCCGTGGCCCCGATCTGGTGGAACGCTCTGTCACAAGAGACTAGGGCCCTGCGGGACTTGACATCTTTCCGCAGGGCCTGCAAGACAGAGCTGTTCCACCAGGCCTTTGGCCAAGGCACAGTCTGACCCCCTCCTTTGGTAATCCTCATAGAACTCTAGCCCAATGGTTGCCATTACTTTAATTCTGAATTGATTTTAGAATGAATTGTTTTTAGTATGTATTTTAATTAATCAATTGTGATTCTATGTAAACTATGTTACTTTTATTGTTGTTAGCTGCTCTGAGCCCGGCTTCGGCTGGGGAGGGCAGGATATGAATAAAATTTTATTACCATTATTATTATTATGCCTGCTCCAGCAAACCACGGTTTCTTGGACTGAGAACCAGTGGCGTACGAAAGCAGGGGTGAGGGGGACGGGACGCCCCTAGTGCCTCCCTGGGGGGGTGACAAGATGGCCCGCTGCCTCTCCCCCCAGCTGTAGAGCAGCCGAGGGCGCATGCACAATATCCGTATGGGCTGCCGCACATGCGCAGTCCCACCCCGGGTGCTGGAGAGGCTTCCTCTGCCACACGGTGTCCGAACCAAGGTGTATTGTCTTAATTGGGGCTTTAGTTTTAGATCTGCAAAAGACAATTTGGTCATTAAGGCACTTGTAAAATATGCAGTAGCTGTATACTTTTTTCTTCCTTCCAAAGTCTCTCTTGCTTTAACAGCATTCATGTGTAACACGAAAGTGCAAGAGAGAAAGATACGTGATACGTTTCCTAGGACTGCGAATGAAAACACTGTTAAGATTTCTTGATTTCCCTCAGCCATTGTCTGCTTGAGAGCCCAAGAAATAAATTCTCACCTAGAATGTACGGAGCTGATTTTGCGTCAAACTTAATTTTCGCTCAAGAATTTAGGAGTATTCCCCCACATTACTGTTGAACAATGAAGAATTTTAAAAGGAGGTTAAGAGATCAGGATCCCTCCCTAGGTTCCTCTGGAAACACATGACTGCATTTGAAAGCTAAAGGTGGAAGAAAAGAAAAAAAACCTTGTCAAATTTGGGAGTATCCTGTCAGCTATAATTAGAGGTGCCAACTACTGACAAAAAGCAGCTTTGCATGAAACTTCTCCATGGAAACAAAGAAGCTTTGCAAGGAAGGTGTCAAAAAGCAAGAGGGTTTTTCTTTCTTTCTTCCTTTCCTTGAGCTTTGGAGCAACAATTCCTTCAATAAGAATAATGGAAATTCAGCGTAAGTATTGAAGGTTTGGCTTTACAGTTAATTCGACAGCTACTCCATTTGATTTCTCTTTAGTATCACAAAAATCTACAAGTGATACCTCACAAAGCCTTACAATCCCTACACATAAGAAGGGATGAGAATTATTTACCACAGAGACCACATTTTTAATACCTTGTGTCTGGTCAGATCCACTTTTACTACACCTACTCCTGATATGTGGCTCAAGAGGGCATTCTTATTCTTATTCTTATTTAAATTTGTATACTGCCCTACTCCTGATATGTGGCTCCATGAGGGCATTCTTCTTCTTATTATTATTCATATTCTTATTTAAATTTGTATACTGCCCTATAGTAGCAGGTCTCAGGGTGGTTCACAACATAAAAACACAAAATGCATAATAAAACCAAAACCAAGAACAACCCAATAATCCCCCTTTCCCTGAGTAATAGAGCCCTCAGGCTGAACAAGGTTTCCTGCAATATCACAGTCACGTCCGCGCTATACATTTACAGCAGTATTTTACCACTTTAAACCACCATGGCTTCCCCCAAAGAATCCTGGGAAATGAAATTTGTTAAGGGCGCTGAGAGTTGTTAGGAGACCCCTATTGACCTCCCAGAGTGCTTTAACAATCAACCTTTTCCCCAGAGAACTCTAGGAAATGGAGCTCTTTGAGGGGGCAGGGGATCTCAAAAAGCTATTCACTTGGAAAAGCATTCCACCGTCTAAAGCAACCGAACGACAGCTTTAAAACATAATATGACTTTAAAGGGGATTAGACAGGTTTATGCTGCTGCTGCTGCTAGCCAGCTTGTCTGTCAATTTCACTAGGATCTCGCCCATCTTACAAGGAGGTCCGTGTGCAGTGCATAAGAGTTTCCTTGTGTTCTTATCACACCTGCGAGGTAGGCCAAGCTGAGTAACCATAATTCTCAACTGCGCTTATTCCCAGATAAGCAGGTACAGGATTTCAGCCTTGCAGTGAGATCCGCTGAATCGCTACTTAGAAATAAACACTATTAAGTTCTATGAGACTTACTTCCAGGTATGTATGCATACCAGGAATGGAAAACCTTTTATTTTCAATGATTTCAGCATCCTATGCATGCTTACCTTGGAAGTAAGTCCTATTGAACTTAACTGGACATTTTTCGGAGTAAACGTGTAGGATTGCACTGTTCAATATTCAGTTTTAGCAACGGGATCAGGAGTGTGGGAAAAGGTTTGGAAAGAAAAAAGTGTCAGCAATTTAGAAACATATTGTTAATCAAACTGACTCATGCTAATGGTATTGAGTCACTTCCCATGGGATTTATATCAATGGATATACAAACAATGCAAAGAGGAAATTATGTTAAACTTTCGAGTTCCCAGCATTCTAAGAGTCTGGGGTTCAGGTTAACTGTAAAATGGGAGTTGGAGACCAAGACTCAACAAAGTCTCCAATTTGCCCTACAGGTATAATCATTATTTTTCCATGAACAGTTTTTGAACTCTTCTACCACATTTGCTTGTTTTCTCTTTGGGAGGCCCGACCCTTCCTCAGGCTCCAAAAATTATGCTTTGCAGAGATAAAGTCATCATAACACATCTGTTAGACCGTAGATAGCAAGTCATTGATCTGCAAGATGACTTCATAGAGGTTTTTTCCCACTTGGTTATTGCTCCTTTATGAGAGGAGGGAAAATAATTCTGCAATCAGTGGGGGAGTTTTAGAGGTGATTTTTTATTTATTTGTATTTTTGATAATTGAGTCTTGCAGTTATCCCAATGCTTGGAATTAATTGGTTTGGTTTAACAAAGTTCACTGAATTGGTTCAAAAACCTCAGAGCTGTTCCTGAAAGCAGTTCTCCTAATTGCTGGGTGAAATGTTCATTTTGGGGTAGATGAACAATTTCTAAATCATCTTCAAGTTACAAACCCTGCACCCTGAGGTCCCGGCAGGGGGAAGTTACGATATTAAAACACAATAATAAAACTTCTAAGGCAACTTACAATCACAAAAAATAAGTTGGGTCCTAAAAATATATTCCTCAAGTGTTAAAAGGTAGTGTAAAGAGCTGCATCTTCTGCTGATTAATTCTTATTATAGAATTAAAGTTAGTTAATTCTATTAAGGTTTTTTTTTAATTCTTTAGACTCTTTGGGCCTTTAAAGATCATAATTGTTGGGATAAATAAATAAAAACAATTATAATAATAAAATAAAATAAACTATAAATGAAACTAAAATACTGAACAATAAATTAACAATTCACTTCCCAATATTTAGATGTTTTCTTAATCTCCTTAAGTATATTCTATACTTTGGCAAAGCAGCTTGTAAAATTCTGAATGCTGGAAAAATGAACTGGAATTGAACTGTGAACTGAACATGAACCGAACTAGTTCATCTTGTAAAGGGATGGCCATGAACTGGAACTGATTCATTTTGGGATGTGCTGAATTACAACTAGTCCTTTTTTAAAATGAACTTTCCAAGCTCTGAATTATTCACAAATATTATGCAAAGAGGACTGCCTTTAAAATGTTGTATTTCTGAACAAATCTTGTCCATGCTTTGGAGACCTGCTGCAATTTTTTTAATGCCAGAAATAAAATGGGGAGCAGAGAACTTTTTAGTTTTTGTTATTTCGAGGTAGCTTCAGACTACCTCCTCATGGTATTGCAATGTCTTGGAGGACTTCTCCATAAGACCTGTTCATTGAACCTTTTATCCTGATTTGCTTACACAAAGCTTATGCAGTGGTTAGTCTATGCTGGTTCTTTAATGAGCATTTGTTCTGATTTGTTTGTAGGAAGTTTATACAATAACGAGTATATAAATTCTGATTTGCTTGCATGGTGTTTTTATGTCTTCCTGTTAATCCATTCTTCATTCCACATTTTTCAGTGTATTTCCCTATGACATTCCTAACCACAAAAAACCACTTTTTTTGAAAAAAGGATTTGTTGTGACAAAGCACTTTAACATACAACAGCAGAAAGCTAAATTTCTGGTATGGAATTGAATTCATCTTGCAAAATACTGGCAACCTGGGAGAGACGTTGTTGTTGTTGTTTTAGAAGCCCAGTTAAGGGAATCATGTGCAAAGCACACGTTTGCAAATAGGGTTCCTGATCCAGCAGGAAAATGGTGTTTCCTTAGGCTGCAATGCCTGTATATGCATCTGCAAGGAAGTAAGCAAGCTCCATAGCATGCAGTGGACTTACTCTCAGAGAAACACACATAACACTGTGCCCTTGGGCTGCTGTCCTGCATGCTCTTGGCTGGGAGTAAGACCCATTGAGCTCAGTGGGAATTACTTTTGAGTAGGCATGCACAGGATTGCACCGTTCTAGAACACCTGCACATGACAGCTTCCTATTTATTTACGAGTCCCACCATTTTGAAAACAGCTTGGTTCCCCATTACTTGGAGAGGACGAGATCTAATTCAGCGACTGCTATAAAACTGAGAGTGCACCAGGCTCTCTTAAGAACAAAGTGTGTGTGGCCAAATGGAAAGCTCCACTAAAGCCAGTAAGCTTCAGTCTTGTTCGTGGCCTTAATCCATTCCTTGATTAATGTCACATTTAACCTGGATTATGGCTGTGGTTATGAAGTGCTTTAAACAAAAACCAGACCGAAATGGAGAATTAGCTTGCCCAAGCCACTGTGCTGTCTAAACACCAGAAGATTGGAGATATTGGCATAGAACTACGTGCTACTTATTTTATATTTACTTATGCACATGCTTTTCTGCCACCTGAGTTCCAGCAGGTAAATATATATTCAGTCACTCCATGATATCCCATGCTTTCAGTCCCTCAGTCCTCCTAGATAAGGGATGGGGAACCTTTGGCCCTGGGGGCCAAATGTAGCCTTATATCAAGAATGGGGAACCTGTGGCCCTCCAGATGTTTATTAGACACCAGATCCCAGTCAGCATTGCCAATAGTCAGGGGGTAATGGGAATTGTAGTCCTGCAACATCTGGGGGACCACACCGAACCATTTTCAGAGGAGGGAGAAAGGAAGCATATCACAACAACAACAACAACAACAACAACAACAGCAGCAGCAGCAGCAGCAGCAGCAGCAGATACTGATAAATTCTGAAGTTACAGGAGCGAGAAAGTTCAGTTCAACATATGAGTAGAATCAGGAGGAATTGTGCAATTTGTTAATAATTGGGTTTGGCTTTCCGGAGTGTAGTTCCAATCTTTATTTGATTAATGTGAGTCTTTCTAGCATCACTGAATTCTTGTTTCATTTCTTTTCAAATACCCAGGCCTTTAAAACATGATAATGGAAATAAAAATGCTGTTGACTTTCTTTGGGGGGGGGGGTTTGCTATGTTTTGTTTTGTTTTTTTACTTCAGTTAGGCTTTATTTCCATTTCAAAGCTGAATGTAAATATCAAAACCAGCAATACATCTGCTTTGTCTGTTCTTTCTGCCATGTATTATTTCCTGAATGAAATGTATGAACGTGTCAAGGGTCATCTGGGGATAGCAAATGCGTGCCAGAAGTTAACCCAATTAATGTGTATGGACCTGAAATCATTGCAATGCACAGTTTTAAACAAGCACATGACTCTGTGAGAAAGAGTCACTATGACAAGTTTCATCTCTCCTCTGTTTGGGGACTTTAATAAATTCCAATGCGTTAGTTGCTCAGAACCAGAAGTTATGACAAATTTGAGTCTCATCTTATGACAGGGGCAATAACCAGTCCTGGTACCATTCCTGGCATCCTAGGCAGGTTCTGTTATTCTTGTAAGATCTGCAGTGCTTTTATGAAAACAGAACATATATACACACTCAAATGCGCCTATCAACACAGAACAACTTCAGTTCCCAAATGGTTTAGCAAAACAGTCCAGCAGTCAGCATGGAAAAAAACAGTGCTCTTTACTATGGATGGAGGAGAAATTCAATACAGTTCAATACAGTCCATATGCTAAGGCGAACCTACCTAATCCACACTTCCTAGAATGATATGCAAACAAAAATACTCCTGTCCTTTGAAAATCACAATTCGCAAAATTTGGTGATGCAGTCCTCCACCTAATAATGCGTACAAAAATGGGTATGTTAGGGGAAATGTGCATAAAATGTGCATGTCTTTTTGAAAGTAATACACAAAATGCATTATATTAGTGGGTATTTGCTTTGTGAAAATGTATAGGTTAGGCAAAATTTCTTTAAAATGTGGCTGTTAGGAAAGGTTTGCACTAAAATGTTGATTGGTTTTTATGAGATTTTTAAAAATCTCAAACTGACACAGAAATGTGGAGAACTGAATGACATTTGGAAAAATGAGAAAAGGAGAAAAAACTGAAATTGACAAATTCACCCGTCCCTACTCTCTACGTAGGACAAAACAGGTATTGGATAAAGCACAATGAGCAAATGCCCAAGACAGCCATCATATGCACATTTGAGAGGAGGTGAATTTAGTGAGACTTACACCCTCAGGAAACATGAAAAGGACCAGGCTGTAAGAGATGTTGTGAGTACCCAGTTTTCAATTATGAGATCCAGATATCAAAGGAAATTCTAAAGTAGTGAGTTTTATGCACCACAACTGTTGTCATATCATTTGCATTGTATAATTCCCAGATTAGTGTGTTCAGAATAGGAATTGTCAGATCAAGATAATTCCGGATTGCGCCACTTTTGCATGTGTTCATTATTAAGTCTGTTTCCACATTATTAGTATGTAATATTCAGAGAAGAGCAAGGTCTGATGGACAGGGATGTTTTGATCTGTATAAAAGGTAAAGGTACCCCTGCCCGTACGCACCAGTCTTGACAGACTCTAGGGTTGTGCGCTCATCTCACTCTATAGGCCGAGAGCCAGTGCTGTCCACAGACACTTCCGGGTCACGTGGCCAGCGTGACAAGCTGCATCTGGCGAGCCAGCGCAGCACACAGAACGCCGTTTACCTTCCCGCTGGTAAGCAGTCCCTATTTATCTACTTGCACCCGGGGGTGCTTTCGAACTGCTAGGTTGGCAGGCGCTGGGACCGAACGACGGGAGCGCACCCCGCCGCGGGGATTCAAACCGCCGACCATGCAATCGGCAAGTCCTAGGCGCTGAGGTTTTACCCACAGCGCCACCCGCGTCCCACTTTTGATCTGTATACTAGTCCAGAAAGTTTGGATTAGGTCAGCTCATAATGCAATATGAACAAACCAAATCCCACATGCATCCCTGGTTGGGAAGAATGGCACACCCAAATAATAATAACAACAGTAATAATAACAGCAAAAACCAATCAGTGGTAGTTTAAGGGTTGCCCTACTATTTCATTCCTGGAGTGAATCATGTCTCTGTTTTCACTAGATCATATGCTGATTGTCAGGATAGATTAATTTTTATATGTTTTTTTCTTTCATCTTAGTTGCAATGCTTTTAATAATGTTCAACTGTTTTTATCACTATGTTATGATTTTCTGGCTTCGATTAAAATAAAGCAACTGTCAAAAGATTTAGCCAAGGTTTAGGAAAAGGCAGTCTTTTATCAGTTATTGATTTATTTCCTGTCATTGCTGCTAAGAGACAGACACATATCAGTTTGATTGATGACTACGCATTGATATTATGAGTTTTGAATCTTTCTTGTTTGCAGTTGAGCTTGAACTAATATTAACCTTTTCTTAAAATCAAACTTAGAGATAGCATTCCTTGTACCTTTTCTCCTTTTCTCCATTCGCATCATGGGAAGGACACAGTGGATGGGATTCAGCTGAATAGTCCCACAAGCAAAAGATCATGCAGGACTTCTCCTAGTACAATGTCATCCTGTCTCCCCCCGCCCCAGGGAAATAGGTCAGAGGGGCTGGGGGAACCCTCAGAATAGCACACTTGCTCTGATGGAACGGTGCTATGTTGAATTCCTCCCACTTCCGAATGGGTTAAATCTAATGCTAGTCCTACTCAGAGCAGACCTATTTAAATTACCGTATTTTTTGCTCTATAAGACTCACTTTTTCCCTCCTAAAAAGTAAGGGGAAATGTGTGTGCGTCTTATGGAGCGAATGCAGGCTGCGCAGCTATCCCAGAAGCCAGAACAGCAAGAGGGATTGCTGCTTTCACTGCGTAGTGATCCCTCTTGCTGTTCTGGCTTCTGAGAGTCAGAATATTTTTTTTCTTGTTTTCCTCCTCCAAAAACTAGGTGCGTCTTATGGTCTGGTGCGTCTTATAGGGCAAAAAATACGTGAAAAGCATGACTAACTGAGGTCCATTCATTTTAGTAGGTATTATCTCACTCCAGCAGAAGATGAATCTCTACTGCCTGTTCTGCCTTTCGACTGATTCAGAGCACCTCTTTCTTGTCTGGATTGAGTTTCAATTTGTTCACCCTCATTCAGACCATTACTGATGACAGACATATACTCTCTCTCTCTCTCTATATATATATATTACAAACATACATAAAACAATTATTTAAATAGGTGCCTGGAATGAGTTAGTCCTTCTGCAAGACATGCACAGATTTCAGAGACTAGAGCCAGAGGACAGATTATGCGGAATGAAGAAGTTGGCTGAAGTATTAAAATTCCACATCAGGCTACAGTGGAGTCCATGTGTGTCATGTATTGGAATGTTCTACTGCCTCTTTAAAAAAAGGTTCAGTTTGTGCATCAGAGAGATATGTTGTGCTTAACCCTCTCCCTGATGTATTAGTTGGGTTTTGTTTGTTTTTTAAAGTTGAGTAGTATCCTAAAATAGTATACTGGTATTCCCACTGACATATACCTATAAAGCATTTGGAGCAAATGTGTGTGGGCTTAGTGAAAATTGAGAGTGGTGATACAGCAGGCCCCACCCTCTCAAACAGGCTGGCTCCCTTCAGACTATTCTGCATTGGGAGGAAGGCCTGAAAGGAGATTTTCATCACAATTATCTGGATGTTCTTAGAATTCGCCACACGATTTGGAACCCTATTCAAGCAGGGCTCCCAATCAAAATTGAGGTTCTAGGCCAAGGGGTAGGGACCTGCGAGTCTCCAGATCCTCTGACTCCCTACTAATATGGCCCAAGATGCGGGACTTTGGGAGTTGAGTTAGAGTCCATCCACATCTGAAGCTGCTTTTAGATGAGTGTGCTTAAAATCTCCCCCTCAGGTGCTTTTTGTATCCTTAAACTCTATTAATGCTTCTCGCTTACCTGTACGGAGGGAAACATGTACATTAGAAGCATCTGACTTTCATCTGGTTGGAATGTAGCCAACTATATTATTTATTATTAATTATTATTATTATTACAATTAGTTTATAAATTGCCTTCCGGACCACTGCATCAAGATGACTTACAAACAAGAATTTTTTTTTAAAAAAAACCTTGTGGTAAAGACCCATTCAAGCAGCTGGGAAAGCTGGAACAAAAAAAGCCTTCAACCATTTTCTGAATGTGCAGATAGTGAACACTTGTTGTACCTCAACAGAAATGCTATTCCAATAGACATTAAAAAAACAAAAACCCTGCTCTGAGTTACTGTGGTGCAGGCTCTGAGATCTTCAGAACTTGCAAGAGAAACTCTCTCATAGACCACAGTGATCTATCAGGTGCATAAAGGATAAGTCAGCCTCCCAAGCATTCTCGTCCTGATCTGTAGAGGGACTTATATGATATTACAGGCATTTTGTGACATTTTGGTGTCACTTCCAAGCTCGGCCGATGCGTGCGTGCGCAGTGGCGCACATATTGGACACACCTAAAATGGTTGTTGTCTGTACCAATGTCTTGACAAGCATAAGAATCAATGTTGCTCTGCTCATTCTTGGCTTTGATTTACACACTTGCGCCCATCTGATCTCACCCACTCTGGCATGTTGTGAACTGAAGGTTGCCCATGTGGGAATGCAGACCTCAGCCTGAAAACGCTTGCCATTTGTTTTGAAAATCCATAGCTACATCATATTGCAACTCCAGAACTGGATCTTTTTTTAGAAACTGTGCAATCTTGTGTGTGTGTGTGTGTGTGTGTGAGAGAGAGAGAGAGAGAGAGAGAGAGAGAAGGTGCTTGTGGTTTGTTGAGAAGAGGAGCATGAGCTAAGATTTTTGACCTATAAGATGCCTCTCATCATCTCATCCCAAAAGATGCTGGCAAAGTGAGCAGGGGGAAAAGGTAATGGAAGGCTTCCCAAGCAGCACCAAAAACATAGAACATCTGGTCTTTACTTAGCATGAGAGGGAGAGAGGAAACCACAGCGAAGCTTACCACAAGATAAGAATACTCTGTGCGAATGTGTGAACAAGTCTTCGGATGACAAGTGAGGAATGAGAAGCATAAACAGTGTTGGGAGATTATGAAATGTTTAATGGTTGCCTGTGTGAACTTCTCGAATTAAAAAAAAAAGTTATTGCAAAATGTTTCTTTTTATTTACAAATGTATTGATATGAAATTTTAACAACCCCAGAAACTATTAAGAAGCATCTAGAGGGAGAGAGTAGCAGTCTATTCCCCACCACCAAATGTTTGGCAGTGAAAGAGCTGTGGAATTGGAAGGAGTCTGGGCTTTCAGACAAGTGCCTGTTGGCTGTCCTGTCCTAAGAAAGCTGTTTACTGGCAAGGATACACACACAGAGTGAAGACTTTGCACACTTTCCCACCAAGGTTCCCTCCCGCTCATGATTAATTTTTCAGAAGTAATTTAGGACCACAAGTTCAAACATAAATTACTGCAAAACTTAAAAGGACTACATCTATATTTCTCTTTTCTCACTCTCTCTCCCACACTGCTTCTGCCACAGACAGACTACATCTACACACACATTTAAAACATTCCCCCATCATGCATCACTCACTCTCTGACATTTATTCAGGGCCCCAGGCTGCAGGACCCAAACCTCTGCCCTGAAGTGTGGCCCTAAAAGTGTCACTTTCAGTCTGCTGGGGCTGCCACCGCTGCATACCTGCCTGCTATTCTGCTGTTAAAGCACTGCTGCTGCCGCCATCATTGCTTCTGCTGCTCCTGCCATGTTTTGAACAATCCTAATCCATTTAGGGCACAAGAAAGAAGGATTTTGCATGCATATGTTTTTGCAAGGATTTTGCACAGTTTAGATATATTGTGTAGGGATAGGTAGAAGGAAAATTGGGTTCTTCTAGTCCCGATCTACTAGTAGATCTCTGAGTGATTTGTGGAAGATCAACAACGTTTTCTGACTCCCTAACCACAGAAACAACTAAAAGTGTTCCTCTCTCCTCCTAAATGAAGAAGATACCAGAAATGAAGAAACCAGGGGAGTGGATTTTTTGTCTCAGTTCTGACAGTGGAAACAAATTTGTAGGCTAATATTATGCTCAGAGACACCCTGCTCCTTTCCTGCTATGCACCTGAGCTACCATTTTGCACTTGGCTCCACCTTGGGGTTCAAGATTTCAAAAAACCCACAACAGATTAGATCGAACAAATCTGCAGTCTTCCTAGTTCTAATCTAGTGGAATTCTACAGCGGTAAGTGAGCATAAAGTGTAGGGTGACTGTTTAGGCATCTGCTGAAACAGAGGACACACACACTTGCACAGAATCTTAGCATGCTAACCAATAGGTATAAGGTGAAAGTTTAAAAAGAATTGCTGTAATACAGGCATAGACAAACTCAGCCCTCCATATATTTTGGGACTACAACTCCCATCATCCCTTGCTAACAGGACCAGTGGTCAGGGATGATGAGAACTGTAGTCTCAAAACATCTGGAGGGCTGAGTTTGCCTATGCCTGCTGTAATAGTAGTATAGAATAGAATAATTGAAACGTAATACATTTCTCCATAGTGGAGAAGACTGTAACCAGGATACAGTACATGTATACCTGCTAAGTCTACTGCCTCTTTAGAGTTCCTTATATATCAAGTTAGGCTTGAACTGGACAGCCTTTCAAATAAAATACCTCTTCAAAATGAGGACTGTCCTCTGTAATGTGGGCAGGGCTGGATTTAGGTTTGATGAGGCCCTAAGCTAATGAAGGTAATGGGGCCCTTTATATGTCCAGCTGTCCTTTGTCAACAACAAACTGTTGCTGTTTTTTGTGTTGAATATATGCTATGTGGTAATTTATGGACCTAACGGGTATCTAAAGCCATTTGCACGTAACATATAGGAGCCTACACCACACAAAACGCTGTTGCTGTATGTAGGTTTTATTTCATTTGTTTTTTGTATTATATTTTGGAAATGTACATCCAGTTTTTTTTTCCTTTAAATTTTTGGGGGCCCCCCAAGAGAGTGGGGCCCTAAGCTATAGCTTGTTTAGGTTATATGTAAATCCAGCACTGAACGTGGGTCCACAATACACCTGTTTCTCCCTTTTCTGCATGGCAACATAATGATCCACACTTCTGCCTGCTTGGGGGGGGGGCCTTCCTTCTTTGGACACTACCCCCATACAAACTCTGCTACAGTGGTGACACTACTACCGTACAAGAATAATGTTCTCTTGATTATTCATTTGTATTCACATTCTCATGAAAGCTCCAGGGGTGGAAAACAATTTGCTGAACTAGATAGGCAAGAGTCAGGGAAACTGCAGCCCTCCAGCTGGGGTTGAACTGAAACCCCATAATTCCTGATCACTGGCCATCCTGGCTGGGGCTGATGAGTGTCGGAGTCCAACTAACCTCTTAGATAGGTCTTTGGTCTGACCCCACAGGGCTTTTACTATGTTCTTAACCTTGCAGAGAATAATAAAAGCATAGCTGTGTATTCTGCTGTCTGTCAATGTTGTTCCAAAATTCCCATTTGGCATTTCCATAGCTTTGAAAGGAATCATCTGATTTTCAAGAAGAACAATGACTACAGGTCCATGAGAATTTCTTTTACCAATTTTTCTTTCCTTTACCAAAGTCTTCAGCAATTTACCACACACACAGTGAGAGGTCTTCATTACATGATGTTACAATTAAGGAGAAAGCATCAAAGCATATTGTCACATTCGAGTAGAAAACAATGGCTTGTTCCAGAATGCATCTGTTTCACATTAAGGACAGATGTGAAATGTTGATAGAAAGCATCACTATCATCATTGGTGTTTTTACTTTCCTTCACTTTGTATCACTAAGGACCTGACTAGTTCAGACATCTTTCAATAAAATGGATTTTAATCCAATTAGTCAGAAATAGCTTGGCATTTGAAAAGCAAATGGCTACAGTTTCAGAGCCCTTTTCATCACAAACATTTGGCCAAAGTCTTTTCAAATTCAGCTCCAAGACACATTTGCCAACAGTTGGTTCCAGAACTTCTGGCACAAAGATTTTCTCCCCCAGGGACCTAAGGGCATGGTGCCTCTGAGCTCGGGCAGAGTACCTTTCCCTTGTAAAGGGCCTGTGTTTTTTAAAATAAATAAATCCTCCAGGAAACCTGAGATAGAATACACCCTGAATGAAGACTGTACCTCTTCAAGTTATATTTGAAATGCCACTAAGGGCACCTTGTTTTTGTTTGATTCTTATCAGATTCTGTTGGGGGAACTGGGCATGAGCACACATTGCCCCATGTATGAGATAAGCCAACAGGTGCATGGTCAGCCAAGCCAGTTGCTATGGCAATGACCTAGTGCCATCTATATAAGTGATTAAAGCATGTCAGCTCATTAGTCAGTCAGTGAGTCTGTATGTGAGTTGGAGTCTGTGTTACGTCTTGAAGCTGGAGCAAAAGAGATACTATGTGGTTGTATATATCTGCATCTGTATCCGCAAAGCCTACAAGCTGTATGTCAATGTCCAGAACTGTATTTCTGAAGCCTTATCTTCTTCAGCAATAAACTATTTTGGACCTTAAAGCTGCCTCTGTGTGGTGACTGGAACTAGGGACAACTTCTCCTACGCAGCCATCTCACTTCAGATTCCCAACAAAATTGTCTTTATTACTTCTTTTTTAAAAGTATGCTATGAAAGCATTTTCTTTAAATTCCAACAGATTTGCTTCTTTTTAGTGTTCATCTTATCTCAGCATTTTTCAGTTGTCCTTGATTCCATTCCATTGTCTGGACCACAGTCCTTTTTTCCAGATCTGTGAATAGCAATGGATGAATGAAATACGTTACAAGTTGAATTTCAGCTCATGCTAAAAGATAAGCCTCAGAATCCTTAAGCAAAACACTTTGGCATTACAATCCTGTAGCTATCCTTGGGGAATTAGGTATTATAGAGTTCTTATAAGAAATATCCTGAACTGTCCCAATTCATCTATTGTGCAAGTTGTGAAGGTAAAAGGTATGGGGATGTGGGTGGTGCTGTGGTCTAAACCACAGAGCCTCTTGGGCTTGCCAATCAGAAAGTCAGCAGTTCAAATCCACTCAACAGTGGTGAGATCTGGTTGCTCTCTCCCAGCTTCTGCCAACCTAGCAGTTCAAAAGCATGCCAGTGCAAGTAGATAAATAGGTACCCCTGTGGCGGGAAGGTAAATGGCATTTCCATGTGCTCTGGCTTCCAGCATGGTGTCCGTTGCACCAGAACCAGTTTAGTCATGCTGGCCACATGACCCAGAAAGCTGTCTGTGGACAAACGCCAGCTTCCCTCGGCCTGAAGCGAGATGAGCACAACACCCCATAGTCGCCTTTACCTTTACCTTTGCAGGTTGTAATTTAGCTATCCCACAGATGTTGCCCTTCTATGACTGTGTTGTGACACAACTCTTGGCAATTTAGACATACCAAACTATGCAAACAAATACATATTTTGAGAGAAAGTACACATTTAAATTGCATTTTGAAGGAAAATGCGCATTTAAATGCTACGATGAGAGGAACAGTTCAAAAAGGTGATCTGCGGGGTGTGTGTGTGTGTGTGAAATAGAATGGAATTATGGCTGAAATGTGAACATAAAACAGACATGAAACAAGGAGATCCATCCACCCTAAGCACATTTTCTTGAATAAAAGTCACATTGAATCTAAGCAAATGACCTTAGGGGGTCTTATAGCTTAATGATAATGTGGCAAGTGGCAACCTTTCAGCTTTACAGTTTGCTGAATTCAGGTGAACTCCTTAATGAACATAGCTGTACACCTTTTTGAGGCATTAATTAGAAAGAGATGATGCTCTCTCACACCAGCTGTTCCCCATTGAGGCCTTCTTTGCATGACTTATGGGCAAGTTATCATTATGGATCACTGCATCATTAAATTTTACGTTCCTTACGTTACCTCCCGGCAGCCAAGGCATATGAAAGTGCAGAAGAAACATGAGGAGATGAGTTTCTCAATTGCTGTAATAAAGTTTTACATCATTGCACCGAGACATGTTTTCTCCACATATGGAAATGGTTAAATTAAAATTGTAATGACTGGATCCAGAAAAGCCCTTTTAGGCCACAGAAAATTAGTTTAATCTGCAAATGTGATTTATGCCTGTCAAGAGACAAGCCTCACGATGAACAGTAAAACTAGATATAAAAAAACAGGGTGTTCCCCCCCCCCATTTGCTGTTCTTAATGGTACCTGCTTTTCTTCTCCAGGCAAATTTCTTAAGTGCTTCAGTAAATCTCAACTTGTAGCTTGCAAGACCAGGAGAATCCAATGTAGTGCCCTTCAGATTTTTTGGACTACAACTCCCATCACCTCTGAGCACTGGCCATACATGTTGGGGCTGGTGGGAGTCAGAGTCCTAAACATCTGGAGGACGCCATGTTGGCTCTCCCTGCCCTTGTTGTTGTTGTTTAGTCGTTTAGTCATGTCCGACTCTTTGTGACCCCATGGACCAGAGCACGCCAGGCACTCCTGTCTTCCACTGCCTCCCGCAGTTTGGTCAGACTCATGCTGGTAGCTTCGAGAACACTGTCCAACCATCTCGTCCTCTGTCGTCCCTTTCTCCTTGTGCCCTCAATCTTTCCCAACATCAGGGTCTTTTCCAGGAAGTCTTCTCTTCTCATGAGGTGGCCAAAGTATTGGAGCCTCAGCTTCAGGATCTGTCCTTCCAGTGAGCACTCAGGGTTGATTTCCTTCAGAATGGATCGGTTTGATCTTCTTGCAGTCCATGGGACTCTCAACCTTCTGAGGATCACATGCCAGTGGTGGGTTGGGCCATTGGCAGAAGTGGGTGGAGCAACAAATGGAAATTTTATCTTTGTACAGTAGACTAGTTTTTACACACATCCACAGGTCAAGGACACATTCCAGCCACACTTGGAATGCAGAGCAGGACCAGTGAGCGGTGGAGTCTGGGGAGAAAGGGGCATGGCCTGGGAAGAAGAATGAGGACCATACAGAGAGGCCTCTGGGCCTAGGGTTTCTCAGCCTTGGTTTAAGTGATAGGTTAATCACCTAAAGTTTGGAACATGGTGTAGACTGAGAAGTAAAGGGTCACTTGTTAAAGAGGGCATGTCTATCTGTCCATCTGTCTGTCTGTTTTGTTTTAACAGCGCATTATTATTATTATTATTAACTGGGCACCACAGTTCAAGAAGGACACTGACATACTGGAACGTGTCCAGAGGAGGGCAACCAAAATGGTCAAAGGCCTGGAAACGATGCCTTATGAGGAACGGCTAAGGGAGCTGGGCATGTTTAGCCTGGAGAAGAGGAGGTTAAGGGGTGATATGATAGCCATGTTCAAATATATAAAAGGATGTCACATGGAGGAGGGAGAAAGGTTGTTTTCTGCTGCTCCAGAGAAGCGGACACGGAGCAATGGATCCAAACTACAAGAAAGAAGATTCCACCTAAACATTAGGAAGAACTTCCTGACAGTAAGAGCTGTTTGACAGTGGAATTTGCTGCCAAGGAGTGTGGTGGATCCTTCTTTGGAGGTCTTTAAGCAGAGGCTTGACAACCATATGTCAGGAGTGCTCTGATGGTGTTTCCTGCTCAGCAGGGGGTTGGACTCGATGGCCCTTGTGGTCTCTTCCAACTCTATGATTCTATGATTCTATGATTCTATGATAAGTGTAAATAGTCTGTATCCATATATTTAGTTCTCCTTCCCTCCTCTCCCATAGTATGAATGGTACATTACAGAGGGAGAAATCTAAGTGAGAAGAAGTAGATCAAGACAAAAGCATGAAAATCTGCTTTGGCCATGCCAGCCATGGGTTTTCCTCAGAGAGGACTAGAACCACAGCAAGTCTCCAACTAGTTGCATGAGAACTATTAGGCAGAGACTTGTCTGTATATCACAGCCCAGTTCTGGCTCTCTCCCAACTCTGCCATGTGCTGATGCCAGGCCTGCTCTTCAGACTTCTAGATGAGAGCTGATCAAGTTATATTCTCTGCCCCATAAATACTTCTAAACAGAGACTGCTCTGTCCGGCCGCGGGCTTCTCTTCTCTCTCTGCCTTCACCTCATTCCACTGGGATTGACCAAGTGGCTCAAGGGATAGAGCTCCAGTTTATGTCCCAAAAGCCTTACAGTTAAAATGGGCATGAATGAATTCCATTCATTACATACTTCCTTTACTGCTCTTCTGATTCACTCTCCTATTCCCCCGTTTTGCACTCCAGTGTACTCCAATTTAACTTGGGGGATGCACGTGTGGAATTAACCAGAAATATTTCTAATGGTAATTCCTAGATTGGAGCACAAGCTATTGGCTGCAGTTTCCATTTCCTCCATCTCTTTTCTTCCTCTAAATGATCTCTGGTGAGATCAGTGCATTGATAAAATACTGGCAAAAAAGAAAAGAAAGCCAATCTCAACGTACTTCCTATTGTCATGTGCCCATATACTCATGCACACAATGTTAAAATGCCACATATACAAAGTATATTGATGCAACCATAGGTTTCCTCAAAGTTACTCTGCTATGCAGAAGCCTGAAGCTTATTATATAGAGACTCAGTGAACAAGGTCACACCAGGTAATGTCGCAATCTGTAGTATCACATCAGGTAAAGGCAGATTCGGGAAACTGCAGCATGGTGCATTCAGGTTCAGGCAGACCATATCAGGACCATGGAAAGCTCCCAGGGAACTCAAGAGCTTTTCTTTCCCCTGGTTTAGGCAATGTTGCCTCAGCAGAGAGTTGAAGCCTCCTGAAGCCTTCTAAATTTAGGCAAGTGCTCTTCTGCATTAGTCACTGCCTCTCTGAACAAGCTGGCTATGTTCTTTAGTGGGTCTCTGCCTGATTCTGTATCTCCTGACTTCTGCAAGCTTGAAGAGATGGAAATTGTGCTGGGGACTGGTGGGGACATATCTTCCATTGGGGACGGCGTTGGTGAAAGTTCCTCCTGGTTGCAGCAGCCAGTGCCTCAACCCCTTTCAAGTCTTCTTTGGGTCCCTGGAGGGCCTGAGGCTTCATGGATCATGAGTAATGTGCACATTCATACCAATTCCTGCAGTTGCCATTCAACATAGGCAATTGCTATTCAACCACCATTGCATAGATGTTAAAACATTGTAAGTCTGATTCCAGTCCTTATGATTTCAGACAGAAGGATAAAAAAGTTATGAAAACATTTCTTATGGATCAGAAACCGGAAGGAAAGAAAACAAGCCCATCCATGCAATGTGTTCCAATGCCTATAATTTCTCATTCCACAACTGTGAGATTTTTTTCCCCAAGGACTGTCTTCAGCTTCTTTTTACATGACAAGAGAAATAATTTTGGAATGGTGAAAAGGCACCAAAAGACAGACACACACACACACACACACACACACACACACACACGTCTGTCCTTTTATTTGCCCAAAGGCAAGTTTCTTTGCCTTCAGGAGGAAGGAAGCAGAGGTAGAAACACAGTGGACTTTTTCCAAGCGCCTTTGAGGGCTTTGTGTGTGTTCAGCTGGACACAAGTCTCAACCCTTTTCAGGATAAATACAGAGATGCTCATGCGTGGTTTCCCAGGACATAGTCTAAGTACATGATGCAGCTACCTTACAGGTTTGGGTCAGATCAGTTGCTGGATGGGGGAACCACCTGGAAACCCTATGTTCACTTCTCTGGGTCCCACGATGGAAGAAAAGTGGTATATACATCTGCTAATAAAATAACATGCCATGCACTTGCTCCAATTTCACTATGTTTGGACTGCACACAAAGCCTACAGAGCAAGGTTCTGTTGCAAAAAAAAAAAATATCCTGGTTTGTGGACCAGTTTCTCACGTTCATCTTAAATTTAATCAATCAGATTAAACCCAGTCAGATGGACAGAGTACAAATAATAAATTATTATTATTATTGCGTATGACGGCTGTGCAAGCACCTTTGGTAAGACACAAATCAGCCACATTCAAGCTGCTTCAGGTCTTGGAGCAGAAGACTTAAGTGGATACCTAGTCAGTTGCTACTGCAACCACTTGGCAAGCAGCAGCAATTTCATCAAGGTGAAAGTTGTGTTATTGACTGCTAACCCATGAATGGAAGAACCTAGATCCAGCAAAGACCATTGTAAATGGATGTGTGGTGAGGATGTGGTTTTCACTGATTCCCCATTCCCTTTGCAGACCCCTCAGTCTCCTCCCATGCTTTACTGGACAGATCCCTTAATTCCAGAACAGATTGGGGTGTGGCAGGGTCAGGAAGTTGCCAAGATAAATGGCAGGAGTTTGGTGGGCTATTGAGAAAGGGTTGATGGGCCAGCTCTGTCCTATGAGCTAGTGGTCTCTCACCCCTTATACAAATGCTTATCAGAACCCTGGCTATTTGGACTGATGAGCTTTTGTTGTGTGACTAAAGCATTCTTATTTTTATAGCTAGTGTCATGCACCATACATGAACAAGGCTTCCTTGCTCTCAAATGTATCCAAGAAGTTCCCCCCACCCCACCCCTGACAGCCACCATATATTCACAAGAGATCCCAATAATCATATTCTTCAATTTTTGATTCAGGCTATTTCTATTATTTCAATTACAAGAGCAGCTAATTTACAATGTAAAAAAAAAAATGCTTTGTTCACCATTCCTTCAAAATTTAGGCTTATAGTATTATGTTTCACTAAGACAGCTTGTGATTATAATGTAATAAGGAATGCATAAAGAAGGCATGCTATGCTCAGTCTGTCTTTGAAAGGAATTATGATGAAAGTGTTTTGTAAAGTTCCCAATAAATAAGATACCATGCTGAGTATGGTTTACCATACTTGTGAATTCGAGCTTTTCCAGGCCAATCCTGCTGTAATCCTACATGTGCCTCACAGCTGGTAGATGTGTTCCTCTGCATCGGCTGAAGTTCAGGAATTTTCCTTGGGTGGAGGGAAGAGGTACAAAAGAACTAATCTTCTGGGAACTAAAGTCACAATTGCTGGTGAAACTACCCTTTCCCTAGTAACAGTAACAAGATTATATTAAATAGTTACTGAATCATTTTCCAATTAACCAGGAAGGCCGAAAGGGTTGCCATATGCCCTTCATTTAATAGCGTCATCAGAGCAGCTTTGTAGGAACAAGGGATGTGAATGCTATGAGTAATTTGCACATATATTAAGTCAGGGGTTTTTTGCCCCCTGAATCTTGAGAGATTTTCAAATGAAAAGGAGGAGAAGAAGGAGGAGGGGTAAAGAAATGCTGTGTTATTAAAACACTACCCTCTGCAATGAATCTCAGCAGATACAATTTCATTTTCTTCCTAACGGCAGAGAAAAATCACAAGGTTAAAACAATAGCCATTAATTTTTTTAAAATATTCTAATGCTGGATTTGAACATGTAAGAGCTCAAACTGTATTAAAATATCCTGCAGCGATGACATACTCCATTGAAGTGCGCACACACACACATTATATACAGTTTTGGAAAGTCCGTTTTCATGAAACTGGGGGAGTTAGAACTGTATATAGCATGTGGATTGTTCAACTTGAGATAATGGAGGCCCAATCGGCCATAAAGCTTTGTGGGTGACCTTGGGGCCACTGATTGTCCCAACAACTGGTATTCAGAAGCATACTGAGTCCAATATCCTGGCTGAGGCTGGTGGGAGTTGCAGATCAATGGCATAAGGAGAGCCACAGGTTCTCCATCCCTGCCTTTAGGTCACTTACGGATTTATATCCAACTTCTACATCATTTTTTCACTATTGTCAAGAAAGGAAGCCAAGCAGGACACTGCCTATTTTGACTGTTTCATGGGAAGCAACATGGACTTGGTATTCATTGGGATCCCACTCAACATGTGAGTGGAATTCATATTTTTTTTCATAGCACACACAGGTAGAGCAGCAAGATGGCTACCCTTCTAGAAGCTTCCACCTGAAATGGCTTACTTCATATTGTTTCATAAGGTTGGCCATGAAATTGACGTTGTGCTAGAAAGAGAAATTAAGACTTAAAAGAAAATCAAGGTAGCCATCAAATGACTACTACTACTACTACTACTACTAATAATAATAATAGCAATAGCAACAGCAACAGCAACAGGTCTTCAGTGAAGTACTCCCACAGAGTACTCTTGTGCACTCATGAGGGTGAAAAGAGCTAATTGAAAACCTCCACATAGGTACATTTTGATTCGGTGGGGTTTCCCCCCTCCTTTGGATATGTGGAGGAGAGAGCAATAAAAACTTGGAAAAAACTACTGAAGGAGCCAACTTTCTTCTTTAACCCTTTGGCACTGAGGGAAGAGTGTCTGGAAATCTTGACTTCTAGTGTCAAATGTATCAAAACAAAACAAAAAATAGCTCGCCACCTCCAAAACTTGGCAAAAAGGAATGGAGAACATAAAAGCTGTGAAAGTGAGTCTCACAAATATATAGAAGGGCTTGAGACTGCAATTCCACACCACTTACACCTGAGAGCATGCCTCACAGAGCTCAATGGGACTTAGTCACCCTGCATTTTTCATTTAACAAATTTCATATGCCGTTTACTACAGCAAAAGACCTCTAAGACAAATTGCACTGTAATATTGTTATGTTCTTATAGAATGGAACTAAGGGGGATGGAGACCACTGAATTGCCACCAACACCACATGCAGTTCTCCCTCTTCCCCCTGGATTGTGTCCATTAGGGTGACTGGGCCACTGTCCCATAAGACTAAAGCAAGTAATAATTTAAGAATAATAATGTCATTCTGCCCTCATCCAGGCCCACCTGCACGTATTGAGTGGGACACTGTTGAGGTCTCTGTGTTGAGTTCACAGATTCGTTCAGCCTTTAATGTGTTGCAACTAGGGATGTAAGAAGCTTGCCCGTTCCACCCTGTATTCATCACATGCAACACTGCTTCTCTACCACTGCAGTTCGTTTTCTACCAAAAGCTACACTATTTGTTTCACTGTCCACTGTAGCAGACTTATATAACTCATATGATTTATGTAATTAATTATGCAAATTATATACATTATGTTGCCACTGTTATTCCACCCTATTCATTTAAATGCAAAGAAACATGATGCAAATGAGGTGTGCGATCAATTGCATATCGTTTGCAGACTGAAAACAACAAAAACAACAGATCATATTCACTGGACTGACTTCCGTTCCAGACATGAGATGGATATTTGTTGGTTTGTTTGTTGAATTTCTGTACTGCCCTTCATCCGAGGATCACAGGATGGTTTCAAATATAAACACAAAAAATACAAAACATAGTAATGAACAAAACAATACCCACTACTTTAAAAGGCCATAAATGGTTTAACTAAGCGAAGATTAGCAATTTCTCCTCCCATTTACATTTTTATCAGACTTCTTCAATATTCCTAGTTGCAACAAGTGTGAACCCAAAAATGGAAATGGGTAATTTGACCACCTCAGTACTCCAATGCTTGTTAAAGTTGTTCTGGTTAATTGTAACAAAACATTTAAAATACTTAAAAAATAATAATCACCGAAATTTACCTTAACCGAAAGGTTCCACTCTGGGTGAAAGCGGAAGGCTGGTGTGATGATGACTCATCACAGGAAACCTGAGCTGCAGCTCTCAAAGTAGGTGAAGGAACTTGAGAAGTCAGAGATGGCTAGTAGCAGCAGCAGTAGCAGAGAAACTTTGCAATGATGAACAAGCTATAATCTCTCTCTCGGACCAAGAATTCCATAAAGGACTTAAAGGACTGAGCCACATTGCTAGTTTGCAACATGTTGCTTTGTTATATTGTCCATGCAATGTTTATATTTAAATAGTTTTAAGACTGTTCTGCGGTAAAGCTTTGAAACTTTGACATTGCTCATATGCAAGGCCCAGCTCAGGGATTCCACTGAACAACTTTAACAGTATCCTGAGCACAAGCATCAACAATGATAATGTGATTTGAAAACTGGGATAGCAGGTGCTAATAAAATGTTTAAAAATTCAGTCTTCTAGCTCATAGATGATTCAAAGTATTGTTGATGCCTTGATGGTGGGAACAAAATGAATTATTTTAAAATAGCTTTGAGATACATAGAACTCTTCTCTGTGCTTTGGAAGAAAATCACTGGAAGCCTCTAGACCTAGATGGCATGTGAGAACAAAACAAAACACAAAAAAACTAGGTTACAGCAATTGTGACTCTGTGATCTGCAGGTGTGTCCCAGGATCACAGACAGAGCAGCTGGAAGGTCAGGAAATTGCTAGTTGTGCTTTGGAACATACCATATAATAAATATGAACTAAAATGAAACCATCTCTTCCCTTTGAAAAAAAAATATCAAAAGCATTTGTTCAACCTCCTAATCAACAAATTGTATATTTGACCTGGAGTGAATTTTTAGCAATTGCACTCTTCCTTCAAATTATATTTCACTTAGAGAATTTATAGCACTGTTATATCTTTGATTTGTTTTCACCTCCCAGCCAAAATGAATCACTAAAATAGTTTTTGCAAACTGTAAACAAATGTTAAGCCACTTTTTTTTCCCCTTTAAGAAATCCTTATGGAAAGTAAACTATGTATATAATTTGGCAATACACCCACCTGCAAAGAGTGTAGAAGATGAAGATAAAACTGATGCATCCAAAACACACAGAATTCTATTTTCTCTTTACCCTTTTACGTTTTTGGAATTCCCAGAGAAGGGCTAAGGTGCCTCTTTTCCTCTCCATTCTCTACAAAGGTAAAGGTAAAGGGACCCCTGACCATTAGGTCCAGTCGTGGCCGACTCTGGGGTTGCGGCGCTCATCTAGCTTTATTGGCCGAGCGAACCTGTGTACAGCTTCCGGGTCATGTGGCCAGCATGACTAAGCCGCTTCTGGCAAACCAGAGCAGCGCACGGAAACGCCGTTTACCTTCCTGCCAGAGAGGTACCTATTTATCTACTTGCACTTTGACGTGCTTTCGAACTGCTAGGTTGGCAGGAGCTGGGACCGAGCAACGGGAGCTCACCCCATCGTGGAGATTCAAACCACCTACCTTCTGATCGGCAAGTCCTAGGCTCTGTGGTTTAACCCACAGCGCCACCCGCGTCCTTCCCATTCTCTACAAAATTGGAGGCAAATCCAGTGTTGCAAGGCATGAGTGGGGGACCCTAGACCCCAAGGCCTCCAGACCTCCCTTATCTGGCCCTCAGAACTCCTCCTAAACCATGCCCACTCTCCCCAGCACATCCTTCAAAAGCATGACTCCCCACCACACCCTGCTTGAAGGCTTTTGTCTAGCTATGATGTGTCCTTGGCCTGTGATTATCAATTAATTATGTTTTTATAAAGCAGATTGGATACCTTCCAACATTTCTCAGATGAGAATAGGGATGTCCTATTCGAATCCCCGCGACGGGGTGAGCTCCCGTTGCTCAGACTCAGCTCCTGCCAACCTAGCAGTTCAAAAGCACGCCAAATATAATTGGTGGGAATAAAGGGACGCAGGTGGCGCTGTGGGTTAAACCATAGAGCCTAGGACTTGCTGATCAGAAGGTCGGCGGTTCGAATCCCCGCAACAGGGTGAGCTCCCATTGCTTGGTCCCTGCTCCTGCCAACCTAGCAGCTCGAAAGCACGTCAAAGTGAAAGTAGATAAATAGGTACCGCTCCGGCGGGAAGGTAAACGGCGTTTCCATGTGCTGCTCTGGTTTCGGTGTTCCATTGCACCAGAAGCGGCTTAGTCATGCTGACCACATGACCCAGAAAAACTGTCTGTGAACAAACGCCGGCTCCCTTGGCCTGTAAAATGAGATGAGAGCCACAACCCCAGAGTCAACTGTGACTGGACCTAACTGTCAGGGGTCCTTTACCTTTACCTTTTTATTCAATACTACTACTACTACTACTACTACTACTACTAATCTTATTATTTGCACACTGGCCATCTAACTAGGTTTCCCCAGTCATGCAGGGCGGCTTCCGACATATATAAAAAACATAATACTGCCTTCAGATGTCTTCTAAAGGTTGTATATTTTCTTATCTCTTTGTCTCAGGGGTCACATAGCTCCATACCCTCCAACATTTCTCCAATGAAAATAGGAACGTCCTAAGGAAAAGTGGGACATTCCAGGTTCAAATCAGAAATGAAGATGGCTTCTGTAAAACCAGGACTGTCCCGGGAAGATAGGGAAACTTGGAAGGTGTGGCATTGCAGAAATCCAGCCTGGAGGTTATCAGTGCATGGGCAACAGTGGTCAGGCTACCCCAGTCCAGAAATGGCCCCAGATGTCTTACGAGCCAAAGCTAGTGGAAGGCGCTCCTAGTCACTGAGGTCACCTGGCGCTCTGGCAATGAAAGTGGACCCAGGAGCACTCCCTGGCTACTCTCCCTCCTTGTGATTCCCAGGAGCTGGTTTTCAGACCATCCTGCCTCCAACAATTGTGGTCAAACGTAGCCATCATGGGTTAGCTGCCTTGTCTTCCATACCTCCGTTCTTAAAAGCCAGCTGCACTGCTGACTCAAGCTGTCAGTCACTGTTGCAGTCAGCCAGTCTCTGGGAAATAGAGGGAGCATAGTAAGAGTGGAGAAACAAAATCCCTCCTTTCCTGTTAAACGAGGTGAAGACATGGGGGGAACAATGCAAACATGAACATTTGTTCAGAACTTTGACGACTGCTGAGATCCTTACCTTAATCCTTCCACTGGTCATGCCCATTAAGGATATGCAACACGTTGATCCTTTGCTTATGGGATTGTGGAGAGCGGGGGGGAAGGAGAATGAGGGAGGGAGGCCAGGGTTGGCATAAACGGATTCCAAGCAAATTTCAGCTAACTCAATATGTGTTTTTTATGAAGCGTGTTTGCTTTAAGTGGGTTGCAAAAAGCAGTGCTTTGTTTTAACAAATATGAGGGGGACCTGTTCAGGGTTCCAGCCAACTCTCTTTCTGCTCCTTCTCTAGCAGTCTACTTTTAACTCATGCGTACCAGGCAGCATTGCATGGTCTCCAAGACCCCAGTGGGTCTTTCTCCCCCCCCCCCCCAAAGGGTTTTTTCCTAAATATTTTTTTGTACCTTGGGGAACGTTTGGGATCCCCAGTGGATGCTTGTCCATTAGGGCAAATGGGGCACTGCCCCTCCAACTTCAATCTGCACCCCCCCCAGCCATTTACACCTGCTTGCCTTCTTGCAACCAGGCCAAGGGAGAGCCAGTGTGGTGTAGTGGTTAAAAGCGGTAGATTCGTAATCTGGGGAACCGGGTTCGCGTCTCCGCTCCTCCACATGCAGCTGCTGGGTGACCTTGGGCTAGTCACATTTCTCTGAAGTCTCTCAGCCCCACTCACCTCACAGAGTGTTTGTTGTGGGGGAGAAAGGGAAAGGAGATTGTTAGCCGCTTTGAGACTCCTTCGGGTAGTGATAAAGCGGGATATCAAATCCAAATCCAAGGGGGAGTATGGGGACAAAATTAGAATTAGTTGGCTCTCCCTGTCAATGGCTCTTAGAAATAAAGAGCTTCTAAATTTAACCCTCTCATGGCTACATCAACCCACCTGATAGGGTTTGGGCAGATCTTGGGCTTTCTTGCAATGTGGACCTGCAATCCAGAGAACCACTGGGCATGTATGCACCCTCTCAGGAGCTTGGTGAACCTTCTGTTTTTATTGCTCACCCATGATTACAAAAATGGGGTTGCAAGATACCTGGCAAGCTCGTGGGCTACCTTTTGCTTGGTGCGCCACACATTCCTAAGAGAAGCCTCTGTTCCCCTTTTCAGTAGTTCTCTTGGCAGAATCCAGCCATTCATACTCCAGTGAGATGGAGTTTATATCTTAGAAGGGAAGGATTTTGAAAGAAAGGCCATATTTGCAATGCAATTGAAGCAGATGAGATAGGAAGTGATTATGGCATGAATAGGGTATTCATGAAAGGCAGAGAAAAGGCAAAGACAAATTCCAGTAATTTTACTGGAGTGGTGACAGGTGGACTTACAGCTCAGGGAAATGAAAGAAGAGGGAGCCGGGTGCGGGGGATGGGGAGGAGAAAGTCTTGACTCTTCAATTTATGGATTCACCAACAAATTAAAAGGGCCAACTTGTGAGGAAAGTTACATTCAGGCCTGGTTAGATCAACATATTGATCTGCCTTCTCTATATATATATATATACCCAGACCTTTAAGCATCAGATAAATAATAATAATCAAAATAATAATAATTTATTATTTATACCCTTCCCATCTGGCTGAGTTTCCCCAGCCACTCTGGGCTGCTTCCAATCGAGTGTTAAAAACAATACAGCATTAAATATTAACTTCCCTAAACAGGGCTGCCTTCCGATGTCTTCTAAAAGTCTGACAGTAGTTTATTTCCTTGACATCAGATGGAATGGCGTTCCACAGGGCGGGAGCCACTACCGAGAAGGCCCTCTGTCTGGTTCCCTGTAACCTCATTTCTCGCAATGAGGGAATCGCGAGAAGGCCCTGGGCGCTGGATCTTAGTGTCCGGGCTGAACGAAAGGTCAGCACCAAATTAACAGGTTGAGTAGTATATTAACAGGTTGAGTGGTATATTTGATAAGCAAAACGGAAAGTGAGAACTTTGGGAGTGAGATTCTTCAGCCTAGGCTGAGCATGCTGCAGTTGCTTGAAGTTCTTCTACGACATGGTGGTGAACAGGGGAGTGAGCCCAGAGTACCTGATCTCACCACAGGTTTCTGTGACTATAATCCAGAGACCCCCTGCCTTTAAAGCATGAGGGACATGAGAAGCAGTTGGCAAATGCATGGGCAACAGCCACCCAACCTGTTTTTCTCTTCTGCAGGTTTTCTCCTAAGCCTGGGCCCCTAGTTCTTATCCTAACGGCCGCTCCCATTTGAATAGCCTGAACAGCAGCAAATTAGCAGAAATGCCTGTCTCTAGAAGATTGTGCTTCCTAGCACCAGCCACTGCTTCTAATTACATCACCATCTAATTATCTCCCAAAACAAACACCTCCTGTGTGTCTGACTGGCATTTGAAATGTGAATGATCTCAGCACCTTGTACGGCACATATTCCTCCCTTTCCAATCTCTTTTTTTTAAAAAAAAAAAAACATAACTTGTATAAAACTTAGTCTGGAGAAAAGCTATAGGAACACTCAGAAAATGCACCCACCTACCCCATTTTTACCAGCAAGTTTGTACCCCTCTTCAAGTCTTCAATATGTGAAGTAAGAAGGCCTTCCAAGTTTAAAATCAGCATAGAAATCCATTGGTAAATTAACAAAACAATACCTACTTAGCCCAAAGCTAAGTAGGTTGACCATTTACACACTGCCAAAATGCACAAAATATACAGAAAAAACTTTCTGGCAATAAGCTGTTCAACAGTGGAACAGTCTTCCTCGGGAGGTGGTGGACTCTCCTTCCTTGGAGGTTTTAAAGCAGATGTTGGGCAGCCATCTGTTATGGATACTTTAGCTGAGGTTCCTGCATTGCAGGGGGTTAGACTAGATGACCCTTGGTCCTCTTCCAGCTCTAAGATTCTATGATTCTATGATCTCCCAAAAAGAGAGGGGCACACTGATTTGCATACAAATTGCATGTTAATTTATATTTATAGGTGCAAATTTTAAAATCACTGTACTTCTGATAACAATAATTTTAATTTAAATAGAAACACACAAAAATCTCACCACAGTGGGGTAAATTGTGACCAATTGACCTGTAAGCAGGTGTTAAGCAAGTGGGCAATATATATATATATATCTTAATTTCACATGGACGCTTATAGGATCTGAACTGGTGGTGAGTGACCAGACTGTAGTATCTGTGAATAAAGGCAAATTCTACGCTGGGACCCATTAGGAAAGAAAATGGAAATAAAACTCCTTTATACAAATCTACGGAATGACTGCACTAGGAATACTGTGTACAATTCTGGTCACCTCACTTAAAATAGGAGATCCTAGAGCCAGAAAATGTTCAGAAAAGGGCAACCAAAATATTCAATGGGATAAAGTGACTCCCCTACAAGGAAAGGATGTAAGATTTGGGACTTTCTTGTTTAAAGAAAGGTGGATATTGGGGAGGGAAGTGAGAGAGATGTGTAGAATTATGAATGTTGTGGAGAAAATGAATTTTAAAAAATCTCCCTCTCACATAATATTGGGAACATCCAGTGAAGCTGAATGTCGGAAGATTCGGGATGGACAAAATTCTTCACACAGTGCCTAGTGACAGTAGTGGGAAAAGAGCTAGCGATAGTCACAAATTTGGATGGCTTTAAAGGAGGCTTAGACCATACCTGTGGTCCCAAGTGGCTCTCCAAGCTAGATCCTAGCCTCAGACTCTGAGCATACCAAAACAAGCTCCAGAATCCCTGATGTGGCACGAAGTAAACATTTCTTGCTGTGTATATTTGAGCGAAGCCGCAAATATCTAGAAACAGAGAGGAGGGACTGTATGTTCAAAGAAAACGCCTGGTGCAGAAGAAGTTTCAAATCATGGTTAGGTGGGGGGGGGGTTGTTGCCTTGAGACATGACTGATGTTACACCTTATATGATGCCTATATTTTAACTGTTGACAATATAAAGGGGACTCAGCGGCATTACCTTATCCTGCCTAATGAATGTTATCACGAGGAAAAGGTAAATCAGTAACAGCTAAGATCAAACGTACCTCTCTTCTTTTGAACACACAATGCCCTCATTTATATAAATTTTCACATTCTGCCAGCCTTCCTCATTTGGACACAACAAATGAACCCACAAAAGGCTAGCACAAAAGGCCTTCGCATCTCCAAATGCCAAAGGACAGCTTGAAATAATGTCCCGAGTGGATTGTTGGGCTGACAAGCCACTGGACTCCCCGTTAGCTGGGACCGTCCTTCCAGCTGCGACGTAAACTGTTGGTGTTGGCAGAAGCAGCAAAGGTCATCACACCTTCTCTTGTCTAGACTAAAGGAGAAAACAATTCTTGTAATATATTATTTGTTGTTCCTTGCCAGTTTATTCCTATAGAGACATATCGGGATTTTTGCTTTTTATTTGAGAAGATCAAGTACTTTATTATGGAAACTGGCTTCCACGCGCACATTCTGACTGGCATCTGATTTTTCACTTTCTGCATTGCTGAAGAATGTCACGAGGCCTCCAGAGACAGGCTGGGTTTTGATGAAATGCTCTTTTCTAAGCGAGGCTGCTTTGTAAAAGCAAATGAACCCAACACTTTCTATAGAACAGTTCCTTCCCTTCCCAAACCATTTCTTTTCTTCTTTTGGAGAACTACTCTCCACTTAAGCAGAAGGACAATTTACTTGTTCATATTTATTTATAACCCTCTTCAGGAATTCTGGAACAGTGTATAGTAAACACGTGGGGGTGGGGGCAAGTAGTGCTATTTTTCTAGAAAAAGAGGTGCTGGAACTCACCACAAACACCTCCCTTGTTCTCTTACAATGGCAATGGCGCCCACCTGAGAGGTGCCGGAACGGAGTATGATAGCTCTGGCCCTCCTCTTTGTTTCTTTCATCCCCCTCAACCCCTGGAAGTTGGAGGGTGCCTGTGTGAAATAGGGAGCCTTCTAGAACCTGGGAAGCTCCCAGCACACGTTAGAACTCTGATGTTTCAAGTCAAGGAGGTCACAAGGTGGCCAAAGGAAGCAGACTCATTCCTACTGCCACATCCCCTTTGAGTGCTTACTGTACGCATTTCCAAAATGCTTGAAGAGAGCCAGTGTGGTGTAGTGGTTAAGAGCAGTAGACTCGTAATCTGGGGAACCGGGTTCGTGTCTCCGCTCCTCCACATGCAGCTGCTGGGTGACCTTGGGCTAGTCACACTTCTCTGAAGTCTCTCAGCCCCACTCACCTCACAGAGTGTTTGTTGTGGGGGAGGAAGAGAAAGGAGAATGTTAGCCGCTTTGAGACTCCTTCGGGTAGTGATAAAGCGGGATATCAAATCCAAACTCTTCTTCTCCTCTATATTTATACAGACATTTGTATTCTGTCCTCCTAGTGCAGAACTGGTACTGTTACAGGTGCCACATAATATTTCTTCTGCATTTGCAAGAAACCAGGGGTGCCATCTCCTGGGGGCTGAGTCCTTCTGCCTCCCCCCCCCCAATATTTGGCACAGATGTGAAGCAAGGAGCCGAGAACAGGGTGGCTTTAGCAGCCAGCTCCTTCTGCTGCTGCTGCCATGGAGGGAAAGGAGGGTCAGAGGAGTGTCCCACCAGTGGTGGCAGCAGGAGGAGGTGAAGTCCTGACGTAACATGCGCAATATTGCCCCCTCCAATCACCCTTGCAACATTGCCCTCCCCCATCACCCTCCATAAGAAATCAATATTTTAGTGTGGCAGCGCCCACACTTCGAAACTCTCTGCACCTTTGCTGTACTCTTCTTTTGAGCACTTGCAAAAACCTTTTGCCTTTCCAGACATTTAGCATGTTGGCGTGTGTTTTAATCTGGTTCTTAGCTTATCATTGATTTTAATTATTTTTAATGTTTTAAATAGCTGATTTTAACTGAATTTTTCTGATAAATTCGTTATTTTATGATTTTTGTAAACCGCTCTGAGGATTTGGGTTGTTTTTTTACAATTAAGCAGTATATAAATTCTGTGAACTAGAGCTTATGCAACATTCAGGACAGTCAATGATTAAAACCAACTATAAACGACAATAAAAATTCTCAAAATCTAAGAAAAACAGAGGAGATGTTTTATTCAATTCTGAAAATGGACAAAAGAGGGGAGGACCTTGTAAATGCAGGTGGTCCCTCTCACTTTGCTGTTCCAATTTATTTGAAGGACCTCAATGTGTATGAATAATCTGCAGTCTGAGAAAGTGTTCACTCTTTGTCATACCCTCAGCCACAATCCATAATTAATAATGATAGAATTACATCACTGCAGCTGTTGATGTAGTAGAAAATCTAAATCTGGGCCTGTTGAAGGAGTTGGCAGCGGGGGCATTGTTTTACAGAGATCCTTTTGCTACCTATCCAGCCGATTTTGGAGAACAGCATTGGATGGTGCTGTTATCTAAAACGTTTTTATACTGCCTTTCAGAGCAAAAGGGCTTCTCAAGGCAGTATAGAAGTAAAAGCAAAAATGCAAGAAAAAATATACAATATATAATTGAGCACAACAGTAGCGTAAAATGTAATGGGGGGAATTAGAGCACTGTGAGCTGTTGCCTGCTTCTCACGTGGGGTTGGCAGGGCATTGTGAACTGTTGCATGAGAGGGACACAACAGGCATGTGCCCTGCCAGCCCCATGCCACTTTTGTGAATCTTGCAAAGCGGTTCTGGGCTCGCAGGGCACCGTGAGTTGGCCGGCAGGACTTCCCATTGCACAGCTGGGCAGGCACCACAGCATGGCCCCACTTGGCTCCAGTGGACGGGGTTTGCTCTGGCAGCTTGCCCCGCCCTCACAGTGCACCCCACCCCATGGTCCCAGTGTGCCCACCCTGGGCACTGGCAAGAAACTTCCCTCCACTGCATTAGATCTGTGTGCACCCCAAATGACAAGATGAAATGGAATGATTTGGGGAAGGTTCTCACACTTCTGAGTTGGATAGTCCAAGGCATCACTAGGCAGATCAGGGACTCACTCAGCTTCCAAGAGGCTCTATGGTCTCAGCTGCTAAAAAAAACACACCCCATGGCTGTTCATCCTGACCCTCTCCCCCTGCGGACTGTGAAAACGTTTATATAATTTAGCAGAGTTTAAATGATCCCGTTTGAGTTTATGCAGCGACAAGCGGGTTGCTAACTTGTTTGAGTCCTGTCAATAATTATACCTTCCTGGCTGATAATCCCTTTCTGTCCCTCTTAAAGAAAACACACATGAATCTGAATCATATTAACATAAACTACTTTACTATCAGGGACACGGGTGGCGCTGTGGTCTAAACCACAGAGCCTAGGGCTTGCTGATCAGAAGGTCGTCAGTTCAAATCCCCGCAACGGGGTGAGCTCCTGTTGCTCGGTCCCTGCTCCTGCCAACCTAGCAGTTCAAAAGCACGTCAAAGTGCAGGTAGATAAATAGGTACCGCTCCGGCGGGAAGGTAAACGGCGTTTCCGTGCGCTGCTCTGATTCGCCAGAAGCGGCTTAGTCATGCCGCGGCTTAGTCAGGTTTAGGTTTAGGCAGGCTTAGGTTACATAACAGACAAACTATATGCTAGATAGTAGTCAGTCATGAGAAGACTGCATCCGAGCAGTTACCATTTAACACTCCTAGCGGCAACCGACCAACTGACAAAACTGCCTGCCACATAGAGGCAGTTAGTCCTCTCAGAATGTTGGACTTGACTGACAGCTTTATATCCCACACGCAAGAGAAATTAAACCAAGCTAACTGTAGAAATGTCCAGAGTTTGAGAGGAAAGCTGTGGAAAGAGGAGGGAACATTTCCTTTTCATGCGCAGGTCTAGCTTTCAATCACAGTGAATTATTTTCCCAGGGCACTCCAATTACAATGATTTGAGGGGGGAATTAAAAACCATATTTGTTTTCCACATGGATTTGGGGTGTGTGTCATAGGTGCCTTAGTGACAGAACCACTGCAGCTATCATTCTGAAATCTGGTAGCCTTTGTCGCTTTATGGACGAGGCAGTTGGATGTGGCCAAAGCTCAGTTGTGCAGGAACCGCCAAATCCAGTGTATGAGAAAACATTCCTTCTTCATCCCTTGCTCTCGCCAGCTGTTCTTCAAGGTTTTCGTCTTCAACTCTAGGAGAAATATTAGTCACTTCTGCAAACATACGTGGGCTGGGATATAGAGTGTAGGCTCATTTGCTTTCAATCAGCAAGCACTATATTGGGAAGATTCATCATTGTTGACCAAGAGAGGAGATATTGAAGCCAAGATGTCCCTTTTGTTTATTTAACCTAGAATCCTTCCTCAGAGAGAAGATGTCAGTATTTGGTCCATGCATTTGCCGAACCCTAGACAGCATCTTAAAAAGCAGAGACATCACCTTGCCAACAAAGGTCCATATAGTTAAAGCCATGGTTTTCCCAGTAGTGATGTATGGAAGTGAGAGCTGTACCATAAAGAAGGCTGATCGCCAAAGAATTGATGCTTTTGAATTATGGTGTTGGAGGAGACTCTTGAGAGTCCCATGGACTGCAAGAAGATCAAACCTCTTCATTCTTAAGGAAATCAGCCCTGAGTGCTCACTGGAAGGACAGATCGTGAAGCTGAGGCTCCAATACTTTGGCCACCTCATGAGAAGAGAAGACTCCCTGGAAAAGACCCTGATGTTGGGGAAAGACTGGAGGGCACAAGGAGAAGTGGACGACAGAGGACGAGATGGTTGGACAGTGTTCTCGAAGCTACAAACATGAGTCTGACCAAACTGCGGGAGGCAGTGGAAGACAGGAGTGCCTGGCGTGCTCTGGTCCATGGGGTCACGAAGAGTCAGACACGACTAAACGACTAAACAACAACAACAACAATTTGCCGAACCTTTTCTTCCTTTCTTTTCCAACTTAGTATGGCCTTTAATTACAGTAATGCTTTATTATTATTGCTTATTTATTTGTTTGTTTGTTTGTTTGTTTGTTTTGCCACATCTTCATACTTCATGAGCTTTACAAGGTCACTGTGAGTTAGAGCCGCAATAAGCAAACAGTGAGGTCAGACAGTTTGCAAAAAAAGAGAGAGAAAGTTCATTTGCAAAAGCCCTACCCTTTCCTGGACATAATGACATGTTTTGTTGCTGGGGTGAGGGGTGAGAGAAAAATACCGCAAGCCTGACTTTTTCACATATAGTGGCAACATTAGGAGATAAATGCAACTGCCAGAGCAGCAGGAGAAGTACTGTACATGGAACAAACTTTTGTTTTGTTTTTCTTTTCCTCTTTTATATGAGATGCGTAGCAACGGTGGTATACAGGAGTTTTTCTTGCTCTAATGGTTTTTCGGTGCGGCAGGTTACATGAGGTGATCCAAATAATTCAGCAAGCTGCACACCACGGAGGAGGCAAGCCACAGATAGGCTCTCACTTGCTTGTGTGTGCTGGCAATTGGTAGCGCACTGCTTTTACCTCAGTGGTTTATCCTTTTCCCTTCAAGCTCATGCAACTTTCATGAATATTTGGGGTGCACGTTCAGTTACAAGGTGTACTATTTACAGAATTTGTGGCCAAAATAAAGGGATGGGAATAGGTTGGCAGGTATCCCTCCCCCCAAGGCTCTAAAGGCCAGGATTTCTGCTCCATCTTCTGGCACATCTTTGCCTCCTCCAAGAGCAGCAAAAACAGGATTTATCCTCCTCCGAAGGGTAGAACCTCAACTGATGGCTTCAAGTTATAAGAAAGGAGTTTCCGACTAAACATCAGAAAGAATGTTCTGAACAGAACTGTTTGACAGTGGAATGGACTCCCTTGGCAGGTTGTGGACTCGAGTTTGGATGGCCATCTTGTCAGGATCTCATCCTACTCTCGAGTAGGACCCTGGCAGAGACACATGCCTGACTGGCATGTTCCCTCCCTCCTGGTCGATCGTTCGGGAGCTTCAAAAGCTTTCTTCTGCCCAAACATCACAGCGACCGATGCCAACAGACATCGGCACACTTAGGGATCCGCAGAGTCTTCGCAGCTTGTGTAACAGACCTCAGCAACTCAGCATTTTAGCTAATCTACTTTATTTACATATAAACACACACAGAGCACTGCAACATGGCTCCCTCTCTCTCTAGCACCAGACAGCAAAGAGAATGAACAAAGGACAATAGTCCTACTTCACGGAACACAGTAACACAAACATCCTGTCTCTGTCACTTCCCACTCTGTGGAGTCAGAACATACACCGTCATATGAAAGACAACAATCCCATGACTGCAATCACGGAGCAGGAATGCTAACACATCTGTCATGGATGCTTTAGTGGAGATTCCTGCATTGCAGGGGGTTGGACTAGATGAGCCTTGGGGTCCCTTCTAACTCTCCAATTCTATTGTATTTTACTAGCACACTGCTATGAAACGTCATATGATTAGCAGTTTCCAAATGACTAAATAAAGCAATAATAATATTCAGTATCAGCATGCTAAGCTCAATGCTTTTACACCTTGTATTGGCCTAAAACACCTTTCCACAGCGAGCAAAACTTAATTCTGCAGTATATAAAACCCAAGCAACGTGATTACAGGACCACATAACATCTGTAATACTACTCACCTATTCATCTTCAGTTATGCCTGTCATCACCTGCCAACAACGTCCTTTTGCAGTTCTTACCTGGAACAAATAGATTGATGTCAGTATAGAAGAATGAATGCCTGTATATCTAACACAAAGGAGCAGCTCACCAGGTGGAGCAGAGATGCTACACTAGCTTCTTGGTAGGAAAGTCATTGTTGCTTACTGGGGGGGGGGCAAGGTAGCAAGGAGGCTGGTACATTGCAAATGCCCTGGAAGGGAGTGCCAGATTGCCTGTGCCAATGCGTTTGCACTGCACTGACCTCCTTATCCCTCCCTTTCCTAGTAAACAACAGTGGGCCTCCTGCTGGGAAGCTAGCATACCATCTCCAGCTCTCCACTTCTGTTCAGTAGCAGAACATTGAAATCTCCCAGGGCATTCTGATGCTCAACTGGAAATCAACAGTCTTTGGGTGGCTGGATGGGAATTCAAAGGGAGACTGTAGCACTGAATTAAGATTTGTGACACCAGGCCCTATCAGCAAATTTGATTTCCCAGCATTTGTTTTACTTTACTTAAAATCATTTATATACCACTTAATATTCCCCAAAAAATCTCTTGGCGGTGTACAATATGTAAATACAATTAAAATGTTAAAGCAAAATCGACAGCATAACCTTAAATCAGTAAAACAGGTATATAAAAACACATGAAAGCATACTAGAGTGAATAAAACAGAATTTCAGAAGATTCAAACATGTAAAACGAGTTCCGATTTCTTACAGGTCAGGGAAAACCTCAGCAAAAAGATATTTCTTTACACCTGAAGCAGCTGTAGGCTGTTGCTTCCCACACGGTGTAGGGGGAAGCATTCCACAAGTGCAGCAGCAGAAAATGCCTGTTTTCGTGTTACCGCTCTGTGATATTCTGTATAGTGTGGGTCCACATGGAGAATTTCCTCAGATGATCCAAGTGATCTTTCAGGAACTCAGGACTCAGTTAAAATCAAGGTTTTCCTGTCCATTACAAGTGTTAAATTAATCTAGGAAGACAGCAACAATTACTGCAGTTGTGAATAGCGTAAAGATACCTCTTGCATTTCATGACTTTTTGGCCCCACTGTTTATATTTTTTATTAATGCTGCAGTGTGTAGCTTTAGATGATAGATAGATAGATAGATAGATAGATAGATAGATAGATAGATCGGCAGGCAGGCAGGCAGGCCAGTGACACTAACACTTCATGCATCTGATGAACCCAAAACACCTTGAGTCTTTAAGAATCTGCAAGACAATTAAAATCAGCAAAGTTAACAGCTAAAACAAGAGAACTTAATGACGACTGCTTTATGGAATGAGAGAAGACTTTTTTGAACTATTTAAAGAAATATTATAGTATGATGAATTCGTGAGCAGGATTTGAACTGGGAGCCACAGAAGAATTTAGAAATTATTGTATTGTTGTTATGATATAAGAGAGGGAAGATAGGGTGCAGCAAGGGGGATAAATAAATAAAAGCACCATGGAAATGGGGTGGGAAGTCGACAAAAGAAAAATCTATTATGTATTGGAATGCTTGTTTGAAATTTTTGGAAATTTAATAAAATATATCTTTTTTAAAAAGAGAGAGAGAGAAAGAATCTGCAATGCTTTTTGGAGGGGTTGTTATGTGCTGTTGTTTCTCTAATTAGTAATCTCCCCCAAATTAAACAATTTGTCGATATTTATTTAATAAAGCTGTTTGGAAGCAAATTTAAGGCAGGATAATCTGCTGGCAGCGGGTGGGGGAATCACCAAAGGCATTTCATCTCTTTGATTACAGTTTGCCATGCTGTTGTCAGATGAACTGAAAATTGTATTTCATTTAAAGGGGAAGAAAGGACGAGTTTGGTAATGTGATCTTGTACTTAACCTCACCCACAGTGGTGAGAACAGTCAGGTAAAAGCCATTACAGAAAGAATTTCAGAGCTTCCTTCTCTAGAGCTTTCAGCAACAATGCAACCCATTGTTTACATTTTAATTAACTTCTGTGTCACTGATTTATAAGGAAGATGGATTAGCCTTATGCTTTCAGCTGAATTATTGCAATTTGAACCTATTTGTACCTTCAGTTAAACTCTTCAAAGCCCGGGGAAGATTGTTTATGTACAGGAAATCGAATTAGTAATGCTGTTACTGTGATTTAATAGTGTTTTGGTGGCTCCCTCAATGAAGAACAGTAATTGGAGAATGTCTGCATTCACATCCCTGGGCTTTTCCTTTACCTTTGCAACAGATACAGCAAGTGTGTTTGTTGGCTTTTCCAACTAATATGGGGAAATAAATAGGCACTGTGATGTTTAGAACGCTGAAAGCCTACAAGTTCAGACCAGGGGCAAGAAGGGGAGTGTTGATTAAACACCCACAACCCATTGAACACCAAAGAAAGAACACAGCCGAAGTTTATGTGGCACAGGGATAGCCAATGTAGTGCTAAGGTTTTGGACTACGGTCCCCATTAACCTCAACCAGCATGGCCAAAGGGCAGGGATGATGGGAGCTGTGGCCCAGAATTTCAGAGGTCATCATGTTGGCTAGTCCCAGGTGTAGCTCAATACACCAGGAACCACTAGATAGTAAATAAATTGTTGATCATGGATTGTACCTTACAGAGGGCAGTCTCCTCTTCAAAGGACTCCTCACCAATCCAGTTTCAGTTTAAAGATACAGTGGTACCTCGGGTTAAGTACTTAATTCGTTCCGGAGGTCCATTCTTAACCTGAAACTGTTCTTAACCTGAAGCACCACTTTAGCTAATGGGGCCTCCTGCTGCTGCCACACCGCTGGAGCCCGATTTCTGTTCTTATCCTGAAGCAAAGTT